TTAATGTCATTGGGCCTTAGTTTCCTCCTTTTTAAAAAAGGAGTGATGACAATCTCAATATTGTTGAAAGGAGCAAATGTAAAAGGCTATAATCACATACTGGGCGGAGTTTTATTTCTACAATCTTGTCTCTGCCTCCAGCATCAAGAGAATAAGCTCTGTCTTTTTTTTGTTTTGTTTTGTTTTGTTTTTTAAAGATTCATTTATTTATGCATACCAGAGCTGGGGTACAGGCCAGAGGTGTGTGTGTGTGGGAGGTGGGGTAAGAGGTTTCACCAGAGGCAGAGCTGGGAACAGAACAGGCAGATAGACAGACAAAAGTACACTGCTGAGGGAAGCAGCGGGCCAGTCAGGAGAGGTCTACTGCGCCATGTAGATTTCTCCCTGGCCAGCCAGGGATCAAACTTGTGCTGCAGAGGCTGCGGACAGCTTCGCAGGCTGTGTTTTAACCCCTTGCGCCACCAGGGCAGCCATTAGGCTCTGTTTTTTGTGGCTTGGGGAAGCTTTCAACAGAAGTAATCTCCCTCACATTAATTCTGGTACCCAGAGTTATCCTGTCTCATCCCATCCTGTCCCAGCCACTGCAGGGAATCTCAAGTCTTAGTTTTCCTGTCTCTCTAAATTGAGAGGGCCAGTGGGAACTCAGAACAAAGGAACTGATACTTACTAAGTGGATCTGCCTGGGAATAGTAGGATCCTAGGAGATGATCCTACTATTAGGTATGTTAGCAAAGGTATGTTAGCGCTCTTTCTCAGGACTTCGAGTCCACCCAAATGTAGATAAAATATTCTATTATATACCTAATTTCCACCAATTATACGTTGAATGCTTACAATCATATTTTAAATGTTTCAGTTCTGTTATCATTATAAGTTCTCATCTATACCTTGCACTTGCATTTCAAAAGTGAATTCATTATCATAACTTACAGAGTACCACAGTGAAAACCTACACCAATGGAATCTCTGCTGACTGTTCTCTCTTCAATTATAATTGACTGTGAATTCGATTCCTTTGCCAGACAGATGCTCAGATTGTTTTTTTTCCTGTGGAGATCTAATGAGATACACGAACTAGGATACCTTCTTCTACTGTGTCAGGCTCTATAATAAGCCTGTCTCCTACAGAAAACCCCTTTCTACTAAAGGGGACATGGAAAGAGCAGCCACTGTTTATTGGTCTTCCAATATCTGCCAGCCAGCAAGCTCCTATTGTCTGATTTCATTTCATTCCACCACATGGAGGGGATGTAGGATTAACTTTCAATTTCACTATCAGTAAAAACATACAGACTAAATCATCTAAGCAGGGAGTCTTAGTTGGCAATTAAATGGACATCTGTGTCCTAATAGAAAAGAACTTAAAAAATAAGTGATCCTAGAAATTCTGATTTCTTGGTCTTGAAAACCATCCCCAAGTATTGTAAAAATACAACCAAATTTGAGAACCACTGGACTAGTTCAATTCCAGCTTTTGACCACTGAAGAAAGCGAGGGCTGGTCATCACACACCCTGACACCATGTGGTCTTTCCACAAAGAATCCCCACTGTAAACTGCATGACAAGCTGGTTTTGGCTTTTGTTTTTGTCAGCTTGTGTTCCACTGAACCCCTGGCACTTAGGATGATGCTTGAGATGCTCAGACACTCAATATATACTTATCGAGAGAACAATGAATAGACACTAGTGGTGGCTACCCCATGAGGACATGCGAGGCTCCCCTGTGCCAGCCACTATCCCAGGATCTGGGGACTCAGCACTGAACCTGACCAAATATCTGCGCTGATACAGGGTTTCCATTAGAAAGCAGCACCGTGCGATAGCAGTAAAATGCAGAAGTAATACACACACTCTCAAAATAAAAAAGGGGGAGAAAAATTTATTAAAAAAATAAATAAAATATGAGCCCTATAATTTAAAATTTTCTAAGAGGAAATGGTGATGTAAACACCAATCATATTTTATTTCATACAAAATAAAATACTATTTTAACATGTAATCAGTATAAAATTCTTTCACATTATCAAGGTATAAACACACTATAAAATTCATCCCATTTTTAAAGAAATGATTGATTAGGTGTTTTATATTCATTTTCTCATTCCAAGTCTCTGAATTCTGGGGTGTATTTGCCAATACAGCCACCTTCATTTGGACTCACTCCAAGTCAAGGGTTCTATTGCAGAAAATGAACAGATGATAAAAAGACATCTACTTAGGGTCCATAGAATAATTACTAATGTAAAGACAATAGTTATAAATTTTTTTAAAGATTTATTTATTTATGAATACAAGATCTGGGGTACAGGCCAGAGGTATGAGGGGTGAGAGGATTCATCAGAGACAGAGTGGGGAGCAGAACAGGCAGATTGACTGAAATACACTGCTGAGGGGAGCAGCGGGCAAGTCAGGAGAGGTCTGCTGTGCCATGCGGGTAGCTCCCTGGCTGGGGATCGAACTCACGCTTCAGTGGCTGCAGATAGCCTCAGAGATTGCGTCTTTTTTTTTTTTTTTAAATTTATTTATTTATTTATTTTAATTAATAAATTTTATTTTTATATTCCCCATACAATTGCAATCCAGGGAGGCCCAATAATTATAAGTTTAAAAAGCATTGTTAAATGATATTGTCAATTTGCCAAAAGTTGAAAAATAAACATAAATGAGCTTATCTTGAATGTTATTTTTAATTTTATTTTTGACAATTCTTGTCACAATAACTACAACAGAATTTGCTTTCTTTCTTTTTTTTAAAGATTTATTTATTTTATTTTATACAAGCACTGGGTACAGTCAGAGGCGCGGGAGGGTGAGAGAATTCACCAGAGCCAGAGCGGGGAGCAGAACAGGCAGAAGGACCGAAGTACACTGCTGAGGGGAGCAGCGGGCGGCAGGAGAGGTCTGCACGCCGTGTGGGACCCTCGCCCGGTAGCCGAGTATCGAACCCACGCTGCAGAGGCTGCGGGCAGCTTTGCAAGCCAGCGCTCAACCGCTGCGCCACTGGGGAGGCCCCAGAATTTGCTTTCTATAGCTTTAAATATGCAAAGGAACCTTATAGAACAGCATTTGACAGTTGACATAACTCAGCAAAGAGGCATAAAATGAGAGTATTTTAGAATATGGTTTGAACTCTTTTATCTACTTACTAGGCTTATGGCCATAAGATAGTTAACTGTGTTTGACTGTCAGTTCTCCCATTTGTAAAATGGAGATAGTTAGAGTACTTGCCTGTAAGTTTCATGCAAGAGGCATCTAAATATAAATGTTAATTCAAGAAGCTAAAAAAAGTAAGTTACAAAACTCATGATTTTTCTAAAGTGAAATCAAAACTGAGAACATTCTGTTTGCACAATATTTTTAAATTTGAACTGACAGATGTTATCTCATTGTATCACCATGTTTTGCTGCAGATTTACTATTTAAATAATTTCATGTTAATTTCATTTTAGCAAAAGAAGTGCTTCAGGTTTTAATACATTTTTATGAATTTCAAAACGATTATTTTTGTTGAATGTGATGATAGCAAGGGTAGGAACTGAGAGCCATAATCTTTGCATAGGGCCCATTTTGTGTGAGTTATAATCCCAAGGGAGCCGATAAAAGGGTTAAATCAGGAACAACGCTTGGAGGAGGTGACCTAAGGTGGTGGCGTATAAACTATTTGGAGGAGAATTTTTTTCTTTCTTTTTTTTTATTTTATACATTTTTTACATCATTTTTCATTTTTGTACAATGTATGCATTTTCATCTCGGTTATAGTCCCCATACAATTCCCACCCCCTTGTTTTGATCCTACTCCCTCCTTCCCCGCCCCACCCCCTCCCCCCATAGTGTGTCTCTGGTTCATAGTTGCTTGTTGATTTTGATTTTTACTTTATTATAATTAGGTTTTTTTCCTCGTCCCTTATTTAGGTTTTCTAAATTCCTACTATGAGTGAGACCATCCAGTATTTTTCTTTTTCTTTCTGGTTTGTTTCACTGGGCATGATCCCTTCCAGCTCCATCCATGTTGCTGCAAATTGCATGAGGTTATCTTTTTTGATTGCTGGGTAATATTCCATTGTGTATATGTACCACATCTTTTTGATTCAATCATCTATTTTTGGGCATTTTTGTTGTTTCCATAGCTTAGCTATTGTAAATAGTGCTGCTATAAACATAGGGGTGCAGGTGCCCTTTTGAATTAATATTTGTGTCCTTTGGGTAAATACCTAGGAGTGGAATTGCTGGATCATATGGAAGCTCCATCTTTAGCAGGTTGAGGAATCTCCACGCAGCTTTCCATAGTGGTTGTACCAGTCTGCTCTCCCAGTGGAGAATTTTTACCAGGTCTTGGATATGGTGCTGAAGCCTGGCTCCCCCATCAGTAATGCAGGCAAGGTTTAAAAAGTGAAACCTGGATGCCCTGGGTTGAAGTTTGTTGCAAAATTTTTTCAGAATGAAGATTCCAAACAATATGCTCTTTTGAGCAAGTTATGACCGTCAAACTGAAGGTATTAGATTAAAAATATACACCTGCTTTAGAAGCTGATTGTACAGATGATCATCACAAAGTACCTTGTCATACCAGTACATTCGGTGCTATATGACTTTTCCCTAATTTTTGAGGCATGTCTGTGTTAGAAAAAAGCCCACAGGTATTTTCTGGATAAGTTCTTGGATACCATTTAGAACCACTACAGGATGCTTCTTGCATGGTTTCAGGTATACAGAGCAGAATAAAAGTAACTGTCAATAGCTGTTGATGTGGGCTTCTCACACACAAGTCTCCTATTAGATTATGACCTTGCAGTTCTAAATTCTGGGAAACTTCACTCTGGTCTCTAGCCCACTTCCCTCCAAGCCCATCCAGAGCTGTCTCTGCCAACAGCAGGATCCTCCCACACCTTCCCCTCATCCTGCTATCAGAGGGGATGTAACACAATAGCCACTCCAGATTCTGGGTACCCGAGTCTTGGGGATGATGCCTCTCTTATACATGAAATGTAAGGATCCTTACCTTTACAGAGGTGAAATTTTGTTTCTTTCTTGCTTTCAAAACTGGGAAGGATGTCAAACTGCATTTTCTTGGCTTTTTAGCATCCATTTTAGTTCTGCAAGAGAGAGTAAAAAAATAAATTGGCAGTAGGAACTTTTGGGAACGTTCTCATCCTGCCACTTTGCCCCTACAAAATTCCTACTAAGTAGCTGTTTTTGCTAACTGGAAGAAATCTGAAGAGGACTTTCACCTTTACAGCAGAAACAGTGTTGGTTTTGCAGCAATACTGCAAAACCTCAAGCAGAGAGAGCAGCCCTGCTAAGCTCCCTCCCCCCAGAAGGATTTTATATAGGCTGTTCAAGTAGCTGATCAATCCTTGCTTTACTATGTGCTGATGTGACTGTAGGTTTTATGTGTTACTTAGTAGGTTATTTTGGGGGTCTGGGAATACTCTAACAGCTTCTCCATTTTCTGGCATTTTGGTTTACAAGAGTTTTCATCATGCTTTTGGTTATCAGAAGAACACATAATAGTCCCCACCGCCCCGGAATGGGAAGAATAAAGGGCAGATTTAGAGGGAAAAAATGGTAGACTAAAGGCAGTGACTGAGTCTCTGCTGCTTTTTGTTTCCCTTCTAGTGGCTGGATGAGGTCAGCAGAGAGGGTATCTTGGCATTAGTCCTAATGATCTCAGGGCAGAGAGACAGAAGCCAAGAATGGATGAGTCAATGAGGTAGGTAGTACATTAGGTCACCAAGAAAAAAAAAAGACATTTTTTTGGCTAACTGCAAAGTAAACCATTCTCTTGCCACAAACACCTTGGTCCCTAAAATAAGGATTCTATTAGTGGTCACCTCAATATCTTAATGCCTCTAGAAAGAGAAAGGAGGGACAATTGGTAGAAATGCTTTTTCTGGATCTGATTGGGCCCTTATACACCTTTTACATTTGGTCATTTAGAGTTTAGCTCTATGAATAATTTAACTCGCTGCAGGATGAAAAAGTAATTCAGGCTTTTGGAATGTAGTTAAAGTGATGACGTATGTGGATGTCAAATTGCGTTTCTCAGAGGCTTTCATGTCATTGTTATGCACCTGTCACATTAGCAGAGCCCCGCTGAGACTGCCTTGTGTCCTTTGGAAGTCCTTTTCAGCTCCAAATCCTAGTAAGAAGCATTGGAACTAAGAAAACAGAAAACAGGGACAGAACAGGGACGGACGCAAATGTCCTCACTCTTTCTGTGAATCATTTCATTGACAGGGACTTGCAAACACACTGTAAGTGTTGACAGCATCATAATGTCAAAATTATTCAGAAGATTGAAGACATGTCACAACATTTATTGCAGTATAATGTTGAAAAATCAGAACTTACTATCTCTATACAAGAAATGAAAAAATATGGCACACATGGATTATAGAATATAAATAATTAAATATTTTTAAAATGAGGTAGAGCTTTATGTATGCTGAAAATACATTGAGTAATATGATTCCATAGTTATTTAAGAAGAAATTAAGAGGTTTGTATGCCTTTATAGAGGCATATTAAAGGATCTAGATAAAACTAAAAAGTACCTCTGGGAGAGTAGAGTAGGAATGTAAATTTTAACTCACTGTCTCTAATATATATATATATATATATATATATATATATATATGTATACATATACATATATATACACATATATATACATGATTTCTGCCTTTTTTATTTGCCTGTCTAGAATGTCATAAAATTTGAATCATAGGTATATAACTTTTTTTTTTTTTTTAAATTTTCTAGAGGCATGTCTTATTTATTTATTTATTTATTTGTTTGTTTGTTTGGTTTATACATGCACTGGGTACAGTCAGAAGCACGGGAGGGTGAGAGAATTCACCAGAGCCAGAGCGGGGAGCAGAGCAGGCAGAAGGACCGAAGTACACTGCTGAGGGGAGCAGCGGGCGGCAGGAGAGGTCTGCTCGCCATATGGGACCCTCCTCCGGTGGCCGGGGAGCAGCCGGGGATCGAACCGGCTGCAGAGGCTGCAGGCAGCTTCGCAACCCAGCGCTCAACCGCTGCGCCACCGGGGAGGCCCAGGTATATAACTTTTTAACTCTGGCATCTTTCAAATAGTATAATGTACTTGAGATTTAACCATGTTGTGGAATATATCAATCCTGTAGTTAATCCTTAGCACTGGCAGGAAGTATTCCTTTGTAAGGTTATCACAATTTTTGATCCATTTACCATGGATGAATATTTGACTGTTATTGTTTTGGTGATAATTTGGTGATTTTATACATACACATATACATGAAATATATATGAAAATGCATAGTTACATATATATGAAAAAATGCTTAAAAGTAATAATTGCTTCTCTGCGTGAATATATCTGAGTCAGAGCTATTTATCTAGGCAACCCATTTTGCACCATGCTGTTAATTTACATGTAGTTGGTGCTCAACACATCTTGCTTGGAAGAAATGATATTCAGTAAAACATTCTCCCATTGATACTTGCTATTTCTCTGCAGAGCAACAAAGAACATCTATCCTCTCTTCCACTCACGAGTCCCTGAATACTGGGACAGCAGCCTTTTACTCCCAGGACCTCTCCTCTCCAGACTTTCTGTGGTTTTACTGCAAAGCCCTCCTCATTCCAGACAGCTCCAGGCAGGACAGAGAGAGCCTGGGCTGCAGTGGCCGCTCTCTTAGTTTAGGTTTTTTGTTTTTTGTTTTTTTTTAATGATCTTTTGTGTGGCACAGCATTCTAGAGTTTGGAGGATGCACTAATCAGTGCTAAGTCCAGTAGTCAGAAATTTATTTACATCGCTCCTGCATTTCTATTTCTATAGCCTGGACCAGTGTTTCTACTCTCTTTAACTGTCATGACAATTCATGTTGGGTTTGGAGGCAGCTAAAACCACTGGTCCCAGCGCCAGACAAAAGCTTGAGAAGCAAGTATTCTAGTCAAGCTGCTGACAACCATGGGGAGCTGCAGAAGGGAGCAGGGAGTCAGGGAGACTCCCTTCCTGTGTGCCATCGCTCCTTTGATAAGCACTAAACCAGAAGAGGAAAACACAGACTTAAGTCACAGAGTTAACTAGACACACTCCATGTTTGAAGAGTTCCTCCCAACTTCCAGACTTTACATACCTACTGCAGGTAAGTAATTAAGACCAACGCCCACAGATGCTTACATGTCTCCTATCATAGCTTGAACTTTCCATTTCAATGGCCTCACACTTCTGCCAAGTCTCCATTGAAGCCTGGATAGTGAAGCCTGAATTAAGATGAGTGACCATCAGTCCTTTAAGACAAGTCAGGGGTGCAAGTCCCTTAGGCCCTGTAGAGGCTGATAGACCTTTCAAACATAGCAAATAGTACAAAGTAACTAGACTTTTAAGAAAAAGTCCCAGATTTGCACTGGTCACCCCCTTTTCAAGGGCAGCATTTGCCAACACTGGGAGTTACCTAGAGCGGCAAGCGCCACTTGGAGGAAATTGTTGCTCTGGCTGCTTGAGCCACACATTCCTGAAGGTGTTTTTGTGTCTAGTGCGGGTGCTCAAGGGCTGCCTCAGAACAGGCTCCTATCATTCAGATCCTCGACTAGGCGAGGCACCGGGGCAGGGTGCCGTCTTGGCTACCAAAATTGAAGATAAAGAAAGAGGGGGACAGAGTTTTGTGCCCCAAGTTGTCAGGTCAGGGGTACGAGGAGTTTCAGGGCAGGTCTTTTGAGTTCCTGCCCATCTCACATTCAGCCCCAGCCGGCGGTGCAACGTTCTATGGAAAGAACCGCCCATTTGCTGTGGCTTCTGAGGAATCAGGTCTTCAGAGCAAGATCGAAAATCGATGTCCTTTCCCCACCCATACTCATCGCTTTCTCGCCTCCCACCCCGCACTCCGCCTCCTACTTTTTAATATTCTAGACCCTTTACATTCCCCTTGCTCCCCCCGCCCCCCCGGGGGCCCCTGATGCTTCTTCTCTGTGGAGCCCCGGGCCTGGCCCCCCAGCCCCCCACCGCCTCGCCCGCCCTTACTTTGCTCCGCCGCCGGCTGGAAGCAGGTCGAGCTGCATCCGGAGGGCGCCGACAGCCCGATGCAGCAGGGGGTCCGGGCAGGTAACCCGCGGGGGCTGAGAGAGGACCACGCCCTTCCCCTGTCGCTATAGAAACTATTTCTACCCTTTTTGTGACTCTGGAGTTGAAAGGACTTAGGCTGTGGTCCAGCCCCAAACCTCCTTTCACGGTAGCCCGAAGAACACTTGTCTCTTCCTCCGACTCCCGTTCTCTTTCCTCAATTCTTTATGTGCAGGATGAGAACTGAAGGACATCTGAGGATGGAGAACTTGGGACGGAACGCACAGATCACACGCATGGAGTTATCCCTCTCCTGCCCCTCTTCAAAACGTACGTGATTGCCAGAAACGCAAAGCAAAAGCTCTGGAGAGATTTTATTCGCAAATGAATCCTTTTTTGAACACTTAATGCTGCACCAGGTTTTAAAAGCATGAAAAGCAAAGTTAGAGTTGAATGACAGAGGAATGAATAGTCTGGTCCAGAAAGGAAACAGATTCAAATGACCTTTTGAAAGATTGCAGTTGAATTGGGAATTAGCAATGTAAAGAGGGCCAGTAAGAAAAGTGTGGAAAGCCCCTTCATGTGGCCACAAGCACCACAGGTGTCAGCTCTCTGGTGTGGCAGGGACCACGGTGCAGGCCAGCAGGAGGCCCTTGAAGAGGCAGGTGGGGTCCAGTCTGGTTCGAAGTCTCTTGTGAACTCAATAAATAGGCTAAGGTGTATGTGTGTGGATTTTAAGGGGTGTTGATGTTCACATTTTATTTTAGAGAACTCCTTCTTGACAATAATGGTATGGAAAGGAAGCCAGAGTAAGTATCTTAATCAATACAAGGATGGATGCCTGCTGGAAGTAGAAGTTTCAGAGTAAGGGCAGCACGAGGAGAGAGGCTTGAGCAACTGGGGCAATGGACTGTCAGCCCTGGAGGTGAGGGTGCAAGTGCCCTAGGCACCTGAGTTGTTGATGGCACCATTCAGCAACAAAATACAGGAGGGGAAATGCTGGGGGCATGAGATGTGATGGATGTAGTGATGACATCAGGCGACGGCATCTGGAGCAAAGGTCCTGACTTGGAGCATTGGCATGGAGGTGACCGCTGGAGGGGAGTCACCTAAGCTTTGATAAAAAGGGGAGGTGGGAAGGGGTGATGTCACACAGAATATGATACTATAACGTGTCACATTCATACTCTTCAGGCCATTACTGTCAGAGGGAGTTTTCTAAAATAATATGTGAACATCAATACACCTCTTAAAATCCACACACATACACCTTAGTCTGTTTATTGAGTTCAAAAGAGGCTTCAAATTAGCCTGGTCCCTGCCTGCCTCTTCAAGAAGGTATAGGTACTAAGATTAGAAAGCTGTAAAACAATGATTAGGCAGGGAGGTGGGAGAAAATTATGGTGTTATGTGAATTGAGGAGGTAAAATTATTTAGCAGAGTATGATGAATAGGGTCTATAAGATAAGAAACATGTACCCTGGATGTGACACTAAGAAGGCCTTTAATGCTTTCTGCAAGGCTAGTTTTAACAAACTTTAGGTATTTTTCTATAGAAAGTAGTAATATAAATAACATGGAGAAAACAGGTTCATGATGCTGCTGTCAGATGATAATACCAGCACCTAACACAGAGCAGGTTTTTAATAAATATTGTTTAAAAAGGGAGGGGGGCAATGGATTGTGGTGGACTATGGGTATTTTGGTGGTGGTATGGAGTGGTAACATACATCTGGAAAGGTGTGAACCTAGCCCCTTAAATCATGCATAGTGTTTTAAACCAATGTTACCTCAAGTAAAAAAAAAAAAAAAAAAATCCAAAAATAAATAAACAATTTAAAATATCAGACAAAAAAGTTTATTGTTGAACTGCACCATACAGCATACCAGGTACTATGTACCTGGAAAACATATTTTCAAAAGGGGGTGGGGTGGGGTAGGTGAAGTGGTAAAACAGTGTAAAAATATAAACTAGATAAGAAAATGAATGTACAATAGAAGAGGTAAATGCTCACTTTGGTGATTATTCTAAATTATTTATTTTCACATTAACATAGGAATTTCCATAAACCAAGAACTGAGCTAAGTGTTACACATTTTTTAATGGTTAACATGATTTGAAGAGTTTTTATTAAAAAATGTTCAAGAGCTATTCTTACCATAAATATAAAATATCTATTATTGTTTTTATTCACAATGAATTCATATCTAAACTTCCTGAAAAGCTGTATTATCATATTATCTAACATTGCAATAGGGGCCAGTAAGTACCCACAGCCACCCTCGAAAGCACTGGCTTACCAAAAAGTGACTGCCTCCCGCCCCACCTCTGCCCCTGCCATGTTTACAACAAAAAGGATAACATGTTTGGCAAAGCACTCATTTCATCAAGAAATGTAGGCATTCAGAGACAGATGGAAGCAATGCTATCAAGGAAAAGAGCATATTAAGACTTTTTCATTTTTACTAAAGGTCTTGACAATGAGAACTTGTCATGAAATTTTATTTGTTGTACAATAACCATCTACTTCCAAGTAGGGGAAATATGCCGTAATATAGTTTTCGTTCGGAAAATAATTCTGAATTCTATCTATAAAAATAATTGACTAAAATAGGAAACATCCTTGCAATGAAAGTGACTATGCAGCTTAAACAATTTCAGAAATATCTCTTGGAAGAAATGGGAATGTTCCCTCTTGCCAGATAAACTCTGAACAGTTAAAGTGAAGGTGTCATAAAGTAGATGAAGCCAGAAAGAGCAGCATGTAATGTGAGCTTCATTGTCAAACTGACAAGCACTTAATGGCAATAACTTATTATACATAAAGAAAACAGAATCTGCCCTTTAGCAGGAAATGACAGTACAAGACAATTCTTAAACAAGTTTCTTGCTGAAGTGTTGAATAGCTTTTCAGGGAACATAACACAAAATGGGTAGAGATAATTTATACATGTTAAAGGAGTCTTTTATATTACAGTATCCTCCTCAAGTAGAATCACCTGTATAAAACAAATTCTCTTACTCAAACACTTCTTTGCTACCATACTCAGCCACTAGTGGCATTTGGATGCAGGGGTTTAACTCGTGCTAATCTGGACAAGCCAAGGCGGAGACTGTGACTTGGGGACTTAACAGACACCCCTGCCAGTGGGCTGCTGCTGTTGCTGCTCCTTCCGGATACTCCTGAAAGAAAACATATCACCTGATGCTGGTCATGTTGGAAATTTCTTAACAAGGATCAATTTATAGAACAAAAGGAGCAAATAAAAAAAGTAGTTAAGCATTCATGTGCTATACGGGTTCTATGAAGTTATAAACTAGATCAAAAGAATGGAACGTTCTAAGGGCCCAAGCCAAGGTAATGACCCCAAAACTTTCCACTTTAACTTGTCAAAACAGGACACAGCAATGAATGTAAAGCCATAGAGAAATGCTCACAATAAAAGTAGAAAAAACAAATGCATTTTTTAAAATCCTTGAACTTTTACAAGCACTCCTTAATTCTATGAATCTCTATTTTTCTAATAGTAAATAACTTTAAACAGGACCAATACCGTTTTTATTTATTAAGTTTTATGTTACCCTTCGAACAAGGCAATGATTCTCACCAAGTATTAAATTCCTTAGTTTAGCACATATGTTCAGAGTTGATCACAACTGTGCCAGATGAACATCTGTGGGCACCTCTTTAAGGTGAAAATTCATAAACACTTTCATGTTTCCAGCCATCTGATATCCATCCTTTTTTTTTTTTTTTTAAATTTTAAAAGGGCAGGTTTATTAGGAAAAAGAGGAAGAAAAAAGATCCCACAGAAAGGCAAGAGAGCTGCTAATTTATCATTTTTAATTGCATGCATGTGTCCTATCTTAATCAAATTACAGCAAACCTGGGTTGTTTCTAGTTTCTCACCATTTTGCTATAAATGGTTATAAGAAATCTTCCCATTTTTTCTTCTTTTGAATTCATTAAGGAATAAATTTCCAAGATTAGTTCTTAGATCAAAGGATGGGCTTATTTTTATGGCTCTTGTCAAGCTGTCTTATAAAGGGATTATAAAATTACGGTAAGTAAATATGCCTGCTACTTCACAACCCAAAGTATACTAGATTATACAACTTTCCAGCTTAAGAGGTATAAAAATGCATCATTTTTAAATTTATATTAACTTAATTACTAGTGAGGCCACAATTCCTTTTATATTCATTTCTAGTTTTATTTCTTGGAGCATTAGCATGTTTATGTCCTTGGCTCATATTCCTACCAGGGTCTCAAATTTATATAAGACAGGTAACTAACTGGCAGCCTGAGAGGCAAATTCAACAATTACATATATTGTTCAGTGCATGTGGTGTTTTAAAAAAGTCAACTTTTATTTATTTATTTATTTTTAAATATTTTTTTTTTTTTAATAGATGCATGTTTTTGTTTTATTTATTTATTTGTTTGTTTGTTGTTTTTTGTTTATACATGCACTGGGTACAATCAGAAGCATGGGAGGGTGAGAGAATTCACCAGAGCCAGAGCAGGGAGCAGAGCAGGCAGAAGGACCGAAGTACACTGCTGAGGGGAGCAGCGGGCGGCAGGAGAGGTCTGCGCGCCATGTGGGACCCTCCTCCAGTGGCCGGGGAGCAGCCGGGGATCGAACCGGCACCGCAGAGGCCGCGGGCAGCTTCGCAACCCAGCGCTCAACCGCTGCGCCACTGGGGAGGCCCCTAAAAAAGTCAACTTTTAAAAACTAAGAGATTTCACATAAAAATCCGTATTTATGGCTTCTCTTGAACAATGGATAATGTTAAACAACTGCTTCCTTCCAAAGGGGATGAGCTCACCAGTTTAGCACAGTCCCCACTCAGTCAAGTTTCCTACATGGGCCCAATTCAGTCACTCACATTACTTGCCTTGCCTTTTCACACAATAAATCTATAAGCACTTTGTTCTTTACACTAATTCCTTATCCATCATTTTGATACTTCCTTTTAACCTACCTGATTATGCTACCTTTTATATTTCTACAGCCATATGTCACTTCCTTTAAATTTCTTTTGTTGGGGAATCACTATTCTCAGGAGAAATATACTAAGGACTATTCTTTAAATGACATGGCATCATTATTTCAGTAATTAACCAAGCAAAGGAACCCTTCTCTAAAAGAGTTTTGAATCCCCATTAAAATCTTGTAATTTGTAAACCAGAATAAGTCTAACAGTTACATACACCTGATATTTCAGATGATGAAATGAAGATTAAGAAAAATTAAGTAATCAAGCAGTCTCATCCCTAAATCTATACAGTTATCATTAGGGGAATGACCACTGTGCACCAATCAAGAAATGTCACTGGAAAAAACAGATGGAATGACTTAGAAAAGGAGAGGGGACAAATGAAGAAGACAAACCAGAGAGAGAGAGAGAGGATAAGGAGAGGTTCTCATACTAATTAAGGAACAAAAAAATGCATCCGTTTCACTGGAGCAAAGGGTTTATGTGGTTGGATGAGGGAAACTGGACTCATTAGGAAGCCACTAATAATTTGATTAAGAAGTGAACAGAGTCCAGATTAGGTTTTTAGTAATGTCAAGTAAGTGAAGCTCAAAGAATTCTTGATGGAGCAGTGAGAACTGGCATTAGAGCAAAAGAAAGAAAGAGGTCAAATTTCTAAGAGCTGGAGGTTGAGCTTGCTAGGGCATTTGTTAAATGCTTGACTTCTCACATATAAGTTCTGAGGCTTCAGTTAAACTGTGAAGATTAGCAAATCTTGAGTAAATAGATTTGTTAACAAAAATATCAGGAATCAAATGTTAATACTCTTTGACATGGTAATTTTACTGCTAGTAATTTGTTCCAAGAAAATAATCAGGGTCATTTTCACAGAATTCTAAAATAATGATGTTTGAGCTTATTGCAACTTTATAACAATGAAAAAGAGTAAGCAATCAGCAATATAAGGGAATGATAAATAAATGCAACAACTAAAAATCTTGGTTTTGAGGAATATGTGATATGGAGAAATGCTCTCATGGAAACTGAGAAACATTTAGAAGTAGGGAAAACAGTCTACTACGAGTAATTTTCTTAGCCCTGGCCCTTGGTAAGGAAATATACCATACCTGGTGGGACCCACTTGGGTCTCTTGCTTTCTGCTGAAGGACTGAGTATTTGCAATGGTTTCCTAGTGGCTTCTGAAGAAAGAGACATCATTTTTGGTGAGGGCTGACATTCTGGTTTGACGGCAGCTGGAGCAGAGTCTACCGAAGTCATGTATTTGAAAAATATACAAAGTTTGTCAAACAGGGAGAAAACGTGAAGCATGTATATGTAAAAATTACAAAGCTACATAGTCTTATAAAATTTGAAAAAAGGCAATTATAAATTTGAAAAGCTTTTATTAAGGAACAGATATTCATTGAGAAATTAAAAACTAGCCCTCTTATGAGCATATATATGCTAAGTATAGTGGTAAGCATATTGCATACACTACCTTTAACCCTGAGTACAACTGTGATAGAGATACTACTATCCCCACTCTCAGACAAGAAACAGAGAGGTTAAGTAACTTGCCTGCAGTTTAACAGCTGAGTTTAATAGCTAAAAGTCTCAGTGAGGATTAGAAACCAAGACTAGCTCCAAAGTCTATGCTTGTAACCATGGTACAATAGTGAGTAAAAATGAGAAGCAGGAGAGTGAGATATGTGAGATTAGAAAGTACCCCCGCTTCTGGTTTTATAAGACAGAGGTGGGTCACCAAAGAAAACAGATCGCCACTAGAAGCTGGAAAATGGGTTCTCTCCCATAGCCTCCACAAAGGAACCCCTGCCAAGAGCCTGACTTTTAGCTCAGTGGAAACCATTTTCAAACTTGTGCCCTTCAGAACTATAAAGTAATAAATGTGTTGTTTTAAGCCAACAAGTTTGTGGTAATTTGCTACAACAGCAATTGGAAACTAACACACAATTTTATATTGCAAACCCCCTGCATTTGAAATCTAATTTCTGGAAACAAGTTGAATTTGTCAATTTAAAAACACTAATCAAAATCTCACTAATTCAGAGTAGAGCAGAGGGAGGAATATGACTCAAAAGTTTTAGTAAATGTTCAGCATCATACTAGCTAAGGCAGAGCAGCTCCCACTAACAGAATCTAAGTAACGGCTATCTTAGTCTAAAAACAGTGTATCAAACAACGAAGACATGAAAATAAAGAAAGAAATAAAGAATAAAGAAAACAAATGCAGCTAATGGATGCTATATTTTACAATGATCTATCCAAAGCGGATAATCATAAATACCATAAGTCTATCATAGCAGAAGTTACACTTACAATAATCAATCATCTATTATGAACTCAAATTTTCTGTCCCACTTCTTTTATACAAATCCATGTAATCCATGTTTGAGTCGTCACAAATTCTGAGTTTTATTGTAAAAATGGTCTATAACTGAATGTTTTGATAATTTCAAAGAAGCAGTCTCAAGCATGTAGAGAAAGGTCCACAGATCACAGACTAAATCTAGTGTGAAAGCAAGAAATTAGTATTATGCAGACTACCCTGTTCCATTGTCTGGAGAAATTGTGGTTCAGAGGATAGTTTAGGCTCTGAATGAACAAATCTTTGTGGAAATTTTAGCCCCTCGTTTAAGTTAGTTATAAGGATTCCAACACATTCTTTATCCCCTCTGAGCCCAGCTTCTGCTGTAAAGGCTGGTGAGAAGAGCTACCTCCAAAGATGTCTGTCAGTGCTAACAGGAGGTAATCAGAGAAAGTGCTAGCCAGGGAGTGGCCCCACATGTTTGTCTGCGTTTCTCCCTTCCCACCCCGCCTGCCTTCTTACAAGTACTTTAACAGAAATGAACCCTGGCAAAATGTTCAGGAGGACGAGGTAAAAGATAAGAGCCAAATACATTTCCTTTATAAAATTAAGTGTTTTGGACTAAACTTACCCAAAGAACTAAATTTGGACTTGGTTTTCTTCTCTTTTCTTGCAACTGGGGATTTGCCCTTCACTTCTTTCTTTTTAATTTCTTTAACTTTACTTTTCCTTACAGTGAAATTTTCATCATCATCTTCACTTTCATCAAAATCAGAATCATCCTCAGACTCTTCACCTGAAGCAGAAAATTATATATTTCATCTTTGTTCTAAAAAGTGAGGTCGAACTTCATCTACGGCCTTTGCACCAGATTTTTGTGCTGTGCAAAGCAATGGTGTGGCTGAGAATATGGTTCCTGGGTTTGAATCCTGGTCCCTGTACGTACATGCTATGGGATCTCAGACAGGTCACTAACTTGTCTGTGCCTGAGTTTCCAAAGTACAAAGTGGACATTCCCATAAACCCTACATCATAGAGTTGTTGTGCGGATTAAGTGAATTAACACAGGTAAAGTATTTAGAATAACAACTAACATATAGTCAGCAAAACAGAATTGTTTTCTATTCCTATCATCATTACAATTTCCTATTAGTGTCTCTACTTCTGATTTTACCAGTTTAACTCAGTAACTTCTGGAAAGAATGGTAAGGAACAACAGTAGCTATTTTTTTCAAAATGATGACCTTGATGGTAATAGTAACACAATACCTTCCTTTAATCACAAATACGTCATTCAGCATTCTAGAATAAAAACCCTTGGGAACTAAGAAGAGACTAATTACACCTCAACAATCCTAACTGATAAGCCTCTAGAGGATTTCATTTGCGACACACCTCTACCTTATCACAAACTCCTTTTTGTACTGCATGGGACAAATATAAGCCAGGAATGGACTGAGGAATGTAGCTGCAGTTGCTCCAGAAAAAAAACATCAGCATACCCAACAGTTAAACAATGATGCTTTTATTTTTCTGCATGGAGGACAGGATTAGAAAATCATGTTTTATAAAGAGTAAATCCCAAAAGGGCCTCCCTGGTGGTGCGAGAGGTTAAGCACTGCGCTGTGAAGCAATTAGCAGCTTCTGCAGCACAGAGTTCGATCCCTGGGCGGCCAGGGAGCCACCCACATGGCGCAGCAGACTTCACCTGACTTGCCCGCTCCCCGCCTCGGCAGTGTATTTCAGTTAGTCCGCCTGTTCTGTTCCCCACTGTCTCTGGTGAATCATCTCACCCCCCGCATCTCTGGAGTGTACCCCAGCTCTTGTATGCACAAAAAAAAAAATCTAAAAAAAAAGAGTACACCCCAAAAAAGTATAAATAAGGATTAGTCCTACTTTAATAAAAAGATGTTTTATATTTTTTACATTATAAATGCAGAAAACATAGACCATACAGAGGTTTCAAGAAGAAAATCCACTCCCTAATCTCACTACTCAGAGATAACCATTGTTATACCACTGATATAACACCTTCCAATCTATAAAAAATGATATATTTTAAATAAAAAGTAAAAATACATATGAAAATTTTCAAACATAAACAACAGTAGACAATAAACTATAACCACACTCAACAACTACCAATAGTTTGCTATAGATAGATAGATAGACAGATGGTTTTTTTTTTTTTTGGTATGGTACAACTGAGGTGCTATCTGAACCTGATTTGTATTTCTCTAATGATTAATGATAATGACCATTTGTGTGTCATCTATGGAAAAATGTCTATTCAGGTCCTTAACTATTTATTTTTATGGGGGGAGATTTTAAAGTCACCATCCAAATCATGATTTCCACAAAGCCTTTGTTTTATAAAATGACTTAAAAGAGATCATCTGTGGTTGGAATATAAAAGTCTCCTTTTCAAATATCTATTATACCTCTAGAAATATAACCCATAGCTTATATATGGCGATATATATATATATATATATCCCAACAAACAGCAAGTAATTTCATTCCCACAAGCATAGCAAACATTTTAATTCCTTATTAAAGATTAAAAAATTAATCTCATTGGCATGCAAAATACTTTAGAATTCTTATTGATTTTTTTTGACAAGCATGCATCCAGACAGTGTGCAGGTGCTACAATTATTAGCCCTGAACAAGACACTTAAACTGCCAAGACTTATTTTGATGATATTGGGTTCTTTGTATGAAGTAACCTTAAATTGGGATACACGTTCCACTATGTTTCCTCAAGGTAGTACCACTCACTGGCTCCTGCTTTTTTGGAGTTGTGCTCACATCATTGTTTCTCAAAGTAATATCCATAGACTGCCTGCCTTGCAATCACCTGGGTCAGGGATAGGGGGGCAGGTATTGGTTAACAATGCAGATTTCTGGGCCCTACCCTGTCTTCCTTTTCTTCATAGCTCTTCTATCATGGCACTTGACACATTAGGTGTTTAGTTGGTTGTTGTCACTCTCCCCTCACTAGAAGTCAAGGTCCACCAGGGTGGGAGCTCTGTTTGTTTTGTTCAAGGCTGCGTCCCTAGTGTAGTGCATATACTAGGAACTTAGATGTTTGTTGAGTAAATGTTGATTAAAAATTTGTCATTATTTGTAGGCAGCATATTAATTAGTGCATAATTTGGCATAAATTTATGGATTATTTTCATTGTTTAATTAATACAGCTTTATGCTGTTTAAGGCTGCTGTGCTTTCCATTTGCCCTTATTTCTGAACAAATCTGAAAACAACTTTCACAGTAAAATATAGGTTTTGTACCTCAAACTAGTTTATGAATTTCTACAACTTAAAGACAAAAGTCTGTACTTTTTAGAATGGGTCTGAGACTGTCCTTGCTTTAGTGCCAGCCAATCTGCCTATTTAGCCTCTTCTCCAACATTCTTCCCTGCAAGCCTGCATTTGCCTACTGCATTACTAATGACTTTCTACCAGGCAGAAATGCCATTTTACTTCTTTAGTTCGCCTATATACTACTCATTTTTCAAGGCATGGCTTACAGGTCACCTTCAGATAAAGCTTTCTCCAAACAGCTGAATGCCAGGGCTGCGCGTAACTGTCCTGTGTGTTCCTCCAGCTTGCATCTACCAAATATTGAGCACAGTGCTCTGCATACATTTTTACTGAATTGCCATAGGATTCATTTTGAGGTAGAAAAAACTTACCAGCTACAAAGTCTGGTTCAGAGTCATCAGCACTATCACCATCACTGCCTTCCAGAAGAATCTTCCTCTGTTGTGCTGCAGCTTTAGATGCTGCTTTTCTTTTCCCTTGGACGCCATGAGAATCATCTTCCTCAGTAATCTTATCTAAATCTTCAGGAGAGGTATAAAAATCAATGGAAAAATTTGTGATAGGTAATATTTAAAAAATTACAGAGAACACTTCTATGAAACCTACTGCTTCCTGTTGTTGTCTGTCTTATTTGTCCAGCTTCAATGCTTCCCTGCTTCTAGTAACACACCACATAGCTTATAAATCTGGATCAATTATAATATATCAGTCTCCTGGAACAGGGTCTGGTTTAAAGATAAGTCCAAGATCCAAATTGAGAGAACATTTCCCCAAGAATTTCTTTCCTCTAGAATTTTCCACAAGAAACTGGAGCTGGACTATTTACAATAGCTAAGCTTTGGAAACAACCCAAATGCCCAAAAATAGATGACTAGATCAAGAAGATGTTGTACATATACACCATGGAATATTACTCAGCATTCAAAAAAGATAAATACATGCAATTTGCAGCAACATGGATGGAGCTGGAAGGGATCAAGCTCAGCGAAATAAGCCAGAAAGAAAAAGAAGAATACCTGATGGTCTCACTCATAGCAGGAATATAGAAAACTTAAATAAGGGACCAGGAAAAAGAATAACTATAAGAAAGAAAATATCAAAATCAACAAACAACTATGAACCAGAGATACTCTATGGGGGGTGGGGGGTGGGGAAAGGAGGGATTGGGGTCAAAATAAGGGGGCTGTAATTGTATGGGGAATATAAAAATAAAATTTAAATAATAATAATAATAAAAAGAAACTGGAGCTGGGAAAATACAGCCTCTTTCTTTAGTGGTCAAATGTCAACTACAAACCATGGTAGCCATGATGGTCTACCAGGGAAGAAACTGGGTCTGCAGTAAGAGAGAAGAAAACTAAAACATAAAGAAACAAAGGAAAAGAGGTGAAAAGAATCTTGACAAATTTAAAGAAGATCTTGGTTCTAGCTATGGTTCTGGAGTTGAAATAAAGATTAGAAAAACAACACTGGTGATACCGTGGTGGGAGAACCAAATACTGTATAAAGGAGAAACCAAATACTGTATAAAAATGAACTATGTAAGAAAATAAGTAAAAAGGAAAAAATTGTTGATGGAAAAAATACACATGATTAATATTAAAAACTTACCTAAATAATCACTGGCTACACTACAATTAGAGATATGGGGAGACTTATTCTTATTCTTTGTTTCTGCTTCATTATTGACTTGTTTTTCAATGCCTACATATAAGGAAGAAAAGTAGATTTAGATGCACCTTAATCAAGCAATGCCTAGAAATAGATTACTACTAATGATTTCTGCCTCTCCAGACTATCACTATTGCCCTCTGCTGTACAGTTGCCAGAAATATAAAGGAGAAAATCCCCACAGAGAAATCTAGTGTGTCATAAATTTCTTAAGTCTTCTGAACGTGCTTACCAAATTATTATCTGTAACATTTATAAATAGTAAAAACTACCATCATTAGGTGATGTTGAACTATATGAGTTTGAAGAGAAAGGAGATGGATAATTAGGATATATAAATTCATTTGAGCAAGACATTCAATTTTCACTGTATACAAAGGTATAATTCAGACATTCAGACTGATCTTCCATGTTCTCAAGTTGACTTTGGTTGTTAAGCAGAGTTGTATGTGTGTATATATGACATTTATGCAGCTAAATAAAATACTGAATTCAGCTGTACCCTGTGCAAATTATTCCATTTATAGCCCAAACGATTAAAACTCTACTTTCCTGTAAAGGGTCAGCCAAAGAAATAAGAAAATACAAAGAAAATGAAGTTACTTTCATCTTGAGACTTTTCCACATCAGTGGTGACTACTGGAAGTTCCTTCACTGACAAAGCCAGTGCGACTTCTAAGTCTCTCTGGTACAGCTTGTCATCTAAAGCCAACCTAAAGAAGACACACAAATTATATAATGACTATTTAAATATATCAATCTCAACTAAACAACAAAATTTGAGGTTTTCAGAATACTATTTAGGAGTTACCAACCTTATAAAAATGTTTTTAGAATAATAATCAGAATCAGAATCAATCTTTAATGTTAACACTCTACAACACTACAAAGTCATTTTACCTCTAGTATAACAGACAAGAAGCAGAAGCATGTGCTGCGGCACCTACTATTTCCTGTCATTGTAATGTCTCTCCTTACTACTAGCTCCATCCAGGTAGGAAGTACCCGCTTAACCAAGAATATAAAGACTTGGCTGCGACATCAGTTCACTTAGAAATCTTCTTTGACCTCACCCATACCTCCTTAAACTGCTATTATAGCTCTTATATTAAATTTAAATTATTTTGTTTTATATGTGTTCTCCACAATCTAGACTCTAACAGATATTTCATCAAGTACTTAAGCTACTTAAGCACTGCACTAGGTAGGAAACTGAAAGTGCCCTCAAGGATACTGCAATTAATGAGGAGGGTAGAGAAATAAGACATATTAATAATTATCCCAGCTAAGCAGATTATCATGTCTCCTCTTCATGGTGGCCAAAAATGCACATAGACTATTTACCAAGTTACATAATACATAGGGTCAAAAAAACAAGTATCTAAAAATTTTAAAAGATTTAAATCATACAGTATTATAATGTATACTCATAACATTAAATGATAATTAAAAATGAGAAGTTGCCTGTATTTCAAAATTGAACTTTTTAACAACCTTTCAACAAAATTGAAACTTTTAACAACCCATGGATCAAAGAAGATCACAAGAGCAATTAGAAAATATTGTAATATAGGTAAAACCTGTAAACAACCCAAATGCCCCAAAATAGATGACTGGATCAAGAAGATGTGATATATATACACAATGGAATATTATTCAGCAATCAAAAAGATAAACTCATACCATTTGCAGCATTGTGGATGGAGCTATGCTCAGTGAAAGGAGGAAGGAAAAAGAAAAATATCAGATGGTTTTCCTTATAGCAGGAATATAGGGGAACTAAGTAAGACATCAGTGTAAAAAAATAATAACAGTTCAAAATACAACAAAGCAAAAACACAATTATAAATCAGAAATGTACCGCAGGGGAGGAGGCAGGAGAGAGATCAGAGGGAGGGAGGTAGGAGCATAGGGAACTGAGGTGATGGTGCACGGGTGCACTGGTAAAGGAAACTCTATGGGGACTATACCTGAGGGGATGGGAGGAAGCAAATATTGCTTAAAAATGAACAATGATGTAAAAAAAATTTAAAAATTAATTTAAAAAAACAAAATAGCAAAAAATAACACAAAAAAGAGAAAATATTGTAAATTGAACGATGAGGAAAAAACATCTATCAAAATTTATGGAAGGCAAACTAATGCTTAGAGAGAAATGCATAACTTCAAATGATTATGAGAAAATAATAAAGAAATTAAATCACTGTAGAAGTCTCCAGGAAAAGGACCTAGGAAAAGAAAAACAAAGTTGGGCCTCCCCGGTGGCGCAGGCGGTTGAGTGCAGCTCTGAGAAGCTGTCCACAGCCTCTGCAGAGCCAGTTCGATCCCAGCTGGCTGGTGAGGGTCCCACATGGCGTGGCAGACCTCTCTTGTCGCACTCGCTGTTCCCCTCAGCAGTGTATTTCGTCAGTTTGCCTGTTCTGTTCCCTGCTCTGTCTCTGGTGAATCCTCTCACCCTCCCGCACATCTGGCCTGTACCCTTGTTCTTGTGTAAATAAATAAATATATCTTTAAAAAAAAAAAAAAGTGAATCCACTTGGACTAAAAGGAAATAATGTAAAGTAATAATGATAAGAGCAGGAACTGGTAAACTAGAGTAAACACAAATAAGATAGAAAATTAATAAAATCACAAGCATGTTAATTAAAAATATAAATGTGTGGGGCCTCCCTGGTGGCGCAGGCAGTTGAACACAGTGCTATGAAGCTGTCCGCAGCCTCTGCAGTGCCAGTTCGGTCCCCGCCGGCCTCAGAGCAACCCACATGGCGCAGCAGACCTCTCCTGTCTCACCTGCTGCTCCCCTCAGGAGTGTATTTCGTCAATCTGACTGTTCTGTTCCCCGCTCTGTATCTGGTGAATTCTCTCACCCTCCCGCGCATCTGGCCTGTACCCCAGCTCTTGTATAAATAAAAAAATAAATAAATAAATCTTAGGAAAAAAAAGATAAATGTGATAAAACTAGTTAAAATGAGTCAGAAAAAATACAAATTAATATCAAGAAAATTGCATAACTATTGAAATCATCTAATATCTATTTACTGTACATCTTACCTCTCACCTTTTTTTAGGGGTTTTCTCTTGTACTGGGATGTCTTCTTTCTGGAGAGTCTTCAATTTAGGTTTTGGTTTTTCTAGTTTTAACTCCTCTGATGTTGTTCGTGATTTCTTATTTGAAGGTATAGTTGCAGAAACAAAATCATCTAGTTATGTGTGAATTAAAAACAAAAGAATATATGAAAAGTTTCCCCTAAGGTAGTTAAAATAGATAAAATTTTTCTTTTTTATGTTAGTACTACTAACTATAGTCCCCATGCTGTAGATTATATTCCCATTGCTTTTTTATTGTAGAACTAGAATTTTGTATTTTTTACCCCATTTACCCATTTTGCCCACCTCCCACCTCTCACACCCACAAATCTGTTCTCTGTATCTATGCGTTTGGCATTTTTTGTTTGATTGTGTTAGATCCCATATGTAAGTTACATGATACAATGTATTTGTCTTTCTCTGTCCAGTTTACTTTGCATATATTCACCACATTTTCTTTAACTCTTCATCCATCAATAGATACTTAGATTGCTTCCTTATCTTGGCTAGTGTAAATAACGTTGTAGTGATGGTGGGGGTACAGATATCTTTCATTTTCTTTGGATAAATATTCAAATGTGACATTACAACATTATATAGTAATTCTATTTTCAATTTTTGTATGTATCCCCAGACTGTTTTCCATAATGCTACACCAATTTACATTCCCAGCAACAGTGCACAGAGGTTTCCTTTCTGCCACATCCTTGACAACACATATTATCTCTTGTCTTTCTGATAATAGCCATTCTATCAGGTGTGAAGTAATAGCTCATTGTGGTTTTGATTTGCATTTCCCTAATGATTAATGACATTGAGCATCTTCTCATGTACCAGCGTAGTGGCTACTTGGTAGTTGGCTATCTACATGTCTCCTTTGGAAAAATATCTATTCAAGTCTCCTGCTCAAGGATTGCTTTGATTGTATAATTAATGGGGATTTCACATTATATTCTGTAATATAATTGTGCCTCAAAAGACAGTGTATTACTTCTTAGAGGAAGGGAGTAGAGACGAACTCCACTTTGAGAAACATGGACCTATAGCAATTCAGACCTAAAGATTAATTTCACCTAGCCTTGTTCATTTATCACTTACCTGCATGATTCCTGTCAGTGTAATTCTAGCATAATTATTCCAAATGCTTAGAAAATTAGTTTTCTGGACCTATCTTACATGTAATTGCATACTATAATCAACATTTGAGATCTATACATATATAACTGTTTAACTCATACATTTAACTTGTGTGTGTATCTCAAGTATTGAATATATATATATACATTTATGTATATGTATATTTGAATTATATTCCTGAGGACATTTCTAAATCTTTAAAGCAAAAATAAGAAACTCTACTTACCATCACTGTCAGAGGCTTCAAACTGTGAATAATTGACTGGTTTCTTATGCCTATGAACAAGAAAAAAAAATTTTCATTTATACATATGTCAATTTTTATCTCTGTTCCTTAAGGTCATTAATATTCTCGAGTAAATGAAAATTGTTTGAATTCCCTGAAGAATACATAAATCTAAAACATGATTTGATTTTATAGGAGGGATTTAGCATTTGCTGAAAGTTATTTTAACTATATTTGATATGTCCAATTAAAAAAATGAATTAAGATAATTCACAAAGAATTAGGCATTTATCAGTTCCCATTGTATTTTGTTTTGCTTTATATGTGATATGTTTTCTTTATGTTAGAATATAAACTTGACACTGAAATCCATGTTCTTTCATCTTCCCACAATACTAAATAATGGACACTTAGAAAATGGAGAGTGAATTTGCCACTTGAAACAAATCTTTATACTACTTTAGAGGTGTACTAGAAGTGCTATTAAAAAGATAATTTCCTTCCTCCCCTCTTACGCACTATATGAAACATTATTCAAGTTTTTGTTTCTATCTTCTGCCAAATACCCAAGTATGAATAACCTAGTTTGTCAGTAAATTGTTCTTTAAGTAAAAATGGCATGAAAGGAAAGCTAGTTCTGCTCACAACTCAATGTCATAGTGTTTTTCTTTAAGACAACCATCATAGAAGGCTTTTCTGCATACTTCCTCACAGAGGATGTGAAAAAGAAGTCTACTGTTGTTACTCTCTCACTCTCTGGAGTTGAAGTACTTGAGAGCAGAGTAAAATACGAAAACTGTTTTTGGAAAATCTGAGATTGAATAACAGTAAAATAAAATTTAAAAACCTACTTAACAGTTGAGCTAGAATGAATATGATTCTTATTGCTTCATCAAGTATATTCTTAAGTGAAACCAATGTTTCTTTTGTTTAAACTCAGTGTGTAGCAGTAAAGAATACCATGGATACTAATACAGTTTAGTGTCACTGCCTTGATTCCTGCTAAGATGTCCACAGTTTTACCACCATTACAGAGCAAATGACAGAACAGTGAGAGGGAAAAAAAAAAAAAAAAAAAAGCAAATAATGTGTCAGTATAGTCATGAAAATAGTTTTGACCTCAAAAACCTCCCAAAAGGGTCTGAGGCACTACTAGGGCCTACAACCACACTTCGACAACTTATATATGGAATATAGAGAAACCAAACAAAGGGTCAAAGAAAAAATTTAAAATTTACTGTTCCAAACAAAGTGACTATGTCTTCTCTCCTTGGATGTTTAAAAATTCTTTTCAAACCTAACTTGTTTGAAATGGGATGCTGCATCTCCCACACCTCCTGAACTTGTTCCTTTTCCTGGTCTTTCCCATCACAGTTAATACAAAAATCATGCATTTGGTAGTTCAGGTTAAAACTATTATGAAGTCAACCATCCTTCCTTATTTTCCACCCTCTTACCTCCACAACTACTTCATAGCAAGTAGTTGTGTGCCAGCAAATTCATCTGCTCCATCCATGTCCAATGATAATAACCTACTCAAGCCACCACCCAGTAATATAACAGCCTCCTAACTGGCTAAACCTACTCCCATTCTGGTCACCCCACCGTCCATTCATTCTCAACCAGCAGCCAGTAAACTTTATAAAATCCAAATCAGATTTCCCTCCCTTGTTTAAAACTCTCCATTGCCTTCCCATTGTACTTAGAATAAAATTCAAGCTATTTTCTCAAACCCTTCTATGACATTCCATTGCTCTCAAGACAAAATTTAAACTTCTCAACCCAGTTTACAATGACCCTGTTTCTCTCTCCAGGCTCTTCTTAGAGCAGCTGCACCCTTCCTTCCCAACATGCAAACTCACAAACTTTATTTTCCAGCCATACTCAACTTCTTTCAACACTAAATCCCTCTTTCTGCTCTTTTCTTGCCTAGAGCACTGTTACAGTCTCTTCTTTCCTTAGTCTATCTGCTCTTCCCCCTGCCTATTTCTCTGACCTAATGCCCTACAGTTCTCCCAACTTCATGCTGATACCTAGAGTTTTGGTGATTTTCTATCCTTCAAAGACACTTAGCTCTTGTTCCCTCCACCTGGATTGACCCATATTTTCACTGGCTTGTCCCTTTTTGTCATTCATGTCTTAGCTGGTGTGTAATTCAGAGAGGCAATTCCTAACTACTCTATTTAAAGTTGAGTTTTCTTTTTTCTCACTCTATACGTCATTGCCATGTGTTAGACCCCTAACTCCACCTCTTCATTAGAAGCTAACCTCCTGTAACCTAGTACAGCACAGAAGTAAATATATTCAATAGCTTTACTGAACCAACGGCTGACCCTAGGTCTCCCTGGCATTCAATTTTGTTAGGTAGGGGAATCTTTCGAATCATCTAATGGAAAGTATAGAGAATCTAGAGTCAGGCGACTTAGGTTTGAGTACCCTTGTCACCAGTTGTGTTACTCAGATGAACTGGCTTTTATGAATTGGAGCTTAAAAAGACAAAACAGGAAGATCTACACTTTCATACATCAAAGATTTGGGGTGACAGACAAACGAAGTAACAGCTAAGAAGGGGCTAGTGAAATATAAAGCGCTATTCTAAAGTTAACACATGGACTAGTTTAAATGGGGCCATCGCTACGAAGGGAAGCAAGGGGATGGGAAAAGTTGGAAGGATGTTTCAGAGGACTGGGTGGCTCTCGCTGGAGACTCAAGGGTTTGCCAGTAAACAGGAGATCCCTCGCCACCATCGGTACCTTCCGTCCTACTCGGCTTCCTGCCCTCGATCGTGGCTAGGAGAAGTTGTCTTCAGCATCTTCCTCTTTCTCTCCATCCCCGCCGATGTCATCCCCTACTCACCTCACAGGCCGCACCATGGTCCCATTCAAGGATGGAAACTCGCAGCTTTCAAGTTCTTGTTGGCAGAAGTGGCCGTTTCTATTCCCGCCCAAAACCAGATCTCGGCGCTCCCCGCCCCCTGCCACCAGCCTTCCAATCGCTACCAACCACCATTGTAGCTGCGCGTGCGCTCTAGGAAGAGCGGGGTGTGTTTACGACCTTTCCGAGGCGCCGCCCTTCCGCATCCGGTCCACCAGGGCTGAGTTTGTGCTCTGCCGCCGCACTTTCGTCACGACACTGGCTTCTGCTTGGTCTCTGAAATACATAATATCAGTAGAAACACGCCTGGTTGCACCTTTTAAGTGATTAAATTGATAATGGGGCGCTCAGATGGAGGTACTTTCTATAAGGTGCGAGAAATAAGGAAAAGGTTTTGTCGAATCTGCCGAAACGGATCTGTTGGCTGTAACAAGAGGCTAATCAGCTGATGTTCCCTGCGCAGCTCCTGGTTGACAGCTGGGAGTGTGCGGGCTGCTCAGGACTTACGACCTAGGAGAGGTAAGCCCAGAACCAAGAACGAGGAAGCTGCTTTAGACTGAAGCCTCCCTTCCAGTGGAGGAGCTGTTGCCCTCACTTGGCTGGTGCTTCTCGGTTACAGCCTGCACTTCCTTTCCCCAGTTTAAGCCTCAGAGCCTTCACCCTGATGGTTATGAGTTCGATCCAACCCTCTTCCCCAACTCCAGTTTAGCATGGAAGTCCTTCCTTGACTTTACCCCTGCTTAAAAAAAAAAAAAATGAGCAAGGGAAGGGATTAGAGGAAATGAAAGTATCATTTTGTTGAAACACGAAATGCTAAACCAGTTGAAACCAGAGCTAATTTTTTTTATTTATTGAAAATATTGAATCTAAACAAGAATAGAAAGTACACCCATATTTGTGTAACTTTTATTTCTCTACTATGATGTTCCTTTACTGCCTATGTCTTCATCATGTGTATTGAGTTATCAGCCTGAAGTTTTCATTTTTTACTGATATGTTCTTAGGTAACTTTTTATATATTTTTATTGCTACTAGCTTCAATTTATTGATCATCTTGTGTTTGTCTGGTGCTCCAGATTTATTATTTGACTAATATTTATGACACACCTATCAATTCAAAGGTTTCCTATCCAAGCTGAGATCTGAACACCGAGTAGTTGTTAGCTAAGGAAAGAAGAGACTGTTAACAGTGCTCTAGGCAAGAAAAGAGCAGAAAGAGGGATTTAGTGTTGAAAGAAGTTGAGTATGGCTGGAAAATAAAGTTTGCGGATTTGCATGTTGGGAAGGAAGGGTGCAGCTGCTCTAAGAAGAGCTTGGAGAGAGAAACAGGGTCATTGTAAACTGGGTTGAGAAGTTTAAATTTTATCTTGAGAGCAATGGAATGTCATAGAAGGGTTTTAAGTAAATAAATAACATGATCAGATAGCCATTTTAGAAAGATTACTATGGCTTCAGTGTAGAGAATAATATGAGAACTGATCTGATGGAGAAAGCCTAGAGACAGGGAGTCCAGGTAGAAGGCTCATAAATAGATCTTCTTACTAATTTGATTTGGTTATCTTCTTTCTGACTAGTGACCACTTTGTCTCTATGGGGTATCCTGTACTTTGTATATTCTTTTTATCTTCTTCCCACATGGAAATCTTTCCTCTTCTCTCCACCCCAATCAGATTTCATACCCACAACCTCTAAGACCTCCTAGATCACTTCTTGGTCCCTGATCTTTTTGTTTTGTTTTGTATTCAACTGTCAATTGCTCTTTATCTTCCCGCCTGTTTTCACTTCTTAAGGATCTTTTCTCTGGTAGCTCTCCTGCCTGCCTGTGGCTATGCAGGTGTCTCTTTTTTCTTTCTCCTTTTCCTAATAAACCTGCCCTTTCAAAATGCAAAACAATAACAACCCTCTTCTCCTCATGTCATTTTCCTATTCTAGAGAACACTACCTAGGGGATGTATATTATGGGCATTTTTTTCCTTAAATGAGGTTTTAAAACACTGCTTTACTTTTAAAAGAAGAGGTTTGTTTCATCGCAAAGCTGAAAATGCAAGAGTAAATTTAGGAAAATCTGGAATAATTGGCACAGATTTACAAAAGTAAAATCTCGGAGTGGTGCTGCAATAATGAAACAATGTTTTTCATGGAATTATAACCTGCTTCATTTTTTTTGTTAGTTTTATAGAAATCTTACCAAAGAAGATGAAGAAAAACAGAGAAAGATTCAGCAACAGAGAGAGGGAATTTGTATATAAATTTAAAGTTGGAAGTCAGTGCTTAGAACTGAGGGTACCCCTCAAATTTCCAGTTCAGGAGAATGCTAGTCATTTACATGGACGTCTGATGCTGCTGCATGGTTTACCATGCTTTATAGAAAAAGGTAGGAGCGATTTTTTAAATACCACTTTATTTTCTGTTAGTCTCTGTTAATAGATGTTTTATGTTGATATCATAAACCTAAGAAGTTTTTGAAACAGCCATAAATACGAAGTGTTTAATTGCTTTCAGAATAAAAAGATTATCTGATCTTGGTTTTATGCAGGGTTTTTTTCCTATAACCCTTACAGTTGTTTATAAGGCAGTAGCAGTTTAGTATAAAAATTAAATTATGTAATGAAAAATTGGTTACATAGTCTAGATTAGAGCTCTTAACCTCCTACTTGAGTTGGGTGGATTCGTAAGGCATTTCAGCTATTATTAATTAGGGTAGTATAGGATTATTTTACTAATTGTATTGCCCTTTTAAAATAATCTAGTCTTGGGCCTCCCCGGTGGCGCAGCGGATGAGCGCTGGGTTGCGAAGCTGCCCGCAGTCTCTGCAGCACCAGTTCGATCCCTGGCTGCTCCCCGGCCACCGGAGGAGGGTCCCACATGGAGCGCAGACCTCTCCTGCCGCCCGCTGCTCCCCTCAGCAGTGTACTTCGGTCCTTGTACCTGCTCTGCTCCCCGCTCTGGCTCTGGTGAATTCTCTCACCCTCCCGCGCTTCTGACTGTACCCAGGGCTTGTATAAATAAATAAAAATAAATCTTAAAATAAATAAATAAATAAATAAATAAAATAATCTAGTCTTCATTCCTGAGAAATAGTAATCTTGAATAATATTTGTTGGCCTAAGTTAATTCCATAAAGTCATTTGTATTAAACCATCATAAAAGGTCTGTGTTCTATCTCACAGATGAGGAAAACTTTTAAGTTGAGAATATGTTAAATCATACAAGGTTAGATACAAGGAATCTGAATTAAATCAGTTTTAATATGTTAAGTCCACTTTTCTTTCAAATTCTAATTTAACAGATATCCATATGAAACTTTCAATACGATAACCTGATGCCTCTCAAAATCTGTAAGTTTTCTTCAAATTTAAGAATCAGGTTTAGGAAATTAACATTTATTTTAAAATTAGTTTCAAGGTTGTACATAAGAGTTACGAATTTTGATCATTCTCCATACAATAACCTGTAATAATGAAAATAATTGTGAATTTAGTTAAATGATCTCCTAAAATGGTTTTATTTTAATTAGACATTCTGTTAGGTTATAACTTGATAAAATAAAATTTCACATTTTACCTGCTTAGCTAGGTAAAATGTTTCCTATTTACATCTGGATTTTATTGATACTATTTGTTTTCCCTGTTAAAGACTTGAAAGAAGCTCTCAGTCAGTTCCTAGAAGAAGAATCTCTCCAAGATTATGACAGAGATGCTGAAGCATCCCTGGAAGCTGTGAAATCTGGTGAAGTAGATTTACATCAACTGGCAAGTACATGGGCCAAAGCTTATGCTGAGGTAAGAAAATAGATCAGATTGTAATTCTGCACTTAGACGAGGATTTTTAAATTACTAAAATGATACTAAAATCAATTGAGAATTTTTTCTCTATATACAAAAATTTATTCTGAAATATACAGTATAAGTTGCTGCTTGTGTGCTTACTTCCTATGTGGGAATAAGTATATAAGACACACTACTTTTTTGCACTGCCTTTGTACTGTATGTATGAGAAGTAGGGGAAAGTATGGTCAAGTAAGAAAATGAGAGGTTTTTTTTTTTTAAGGGGCATATCTAGGGCCTCCTTGGTGGCACAGTGGTTGAGCGCTGGGCTGCGATGCTGCTTGCAGCTTCTGCAGCACCGGTTCAATCCACATGGCGTGCAGACCTCTCCTGCCGCCTGCTGCTCCCCTCAGCAGTGTATTTTGTCCGTCTGCCTGTTCTGTTCCCAGCTCTGGCTCTGGTGAATTCTCTCACCCTCCCGCGCTTCCGACTGTACCCAGTGCTTGGATAAATAAGTAAGTAAATATTTTTTAAAAATTTATTTATTTATACAAGAACCAGGGTATAGATGTGCGGGATGGTGAGAGGATTCACCAGAGACAGAGCAGGGAACAAACCCAGCAGACTGATGAAATACACTGCTGAGGGGAGCAGCGGGCAAGACAGGAGAGGTCTGCTGCGCCATGTGGGTTTCTCCCTAGCCGGCTGGGATTGAACCTGTGCTGAAGAGGTTGTGGACAGCTTCACAGTGCATGCTCAACAGCCTGCACCCCCAGGGAGGCCCAAGTTCTTTTTTTTGAATTAAGCTATAATTGACAAATAACATTAGCTTCAGATGTGCAACATAATACTTCTATAAGTCTAGTTAACATCCATTACCATAATGACAAAATGTGTATATGTGATAGGCAACTTTCAAACATACAACTTTCAAACATACAGTATTATTATTTATATACTTGTCATGCTGTACATGTCCATAACTAATCTGTTTTACAGCTGGAAATGGATACTTTTGATCCATTTCATCCACACATGACTTTTGTTCAGATGTGGTGGGGGGACTAATGCCATAGCTGGCTGTTTGAGGAGAGAACTGACCAGAGAAAAGTAGCATTATTAGGTGTCATTGAAACGTAAGGTTGGGTGGCCCCAATCTGCTGCCATAAACTTTAGACCTTTGTGATTTTTTTTTTTAAAGATTTATTTATTTATACAAGCATTGGGTACAGCCAGAAGCATGGGAGGGTGAGAGGATTCACCAGAGCCAGAGCGGGGAACAGAACAGGCAGAAGGACCAAAGTACACTGCTGAGGGGAGCAGCGGGCATGGCAGGAGAGGTCTGTCACGCCATGTGGGACCCTCGCTGGTGGCCAGGGATCGAACCGGCTCTGCAGAGGCTGAGGGCAGCTTCACAGCCCAGCCCTTAACCGCTGTGCCACCAGGGGAGGCCCAACCTTTGAATTTTTATGCTGCAGCTCTGTACTGCCTGACTGCAAGCATAAAGAAGAAGAATATGATTAGGGTTCTGCTAGGTAGACAAGAGAAAGGATACCCATTCAGGGAGTGAGGATTTTGGGAAGACAGTGGTTGAAGGCTGGATCCTGGGAAATAAGAGACATAGGAACAAAGTAAAGTGGGGTATGAGTTCATGGCTGGTAAAATGTGACAAAATAGAAGGATCTGTGGAGGACAGGTTGTGATGAGGTTAAAGAATCAATTGCCTTGGAGTACAATGTGAAGTCTTGGTTGAGGGTTACAGTCAGAGACTGAATGAATTTTTCTGGTTAAGCTGTTCATGGGGATGATATGGAATGGGTGACTGAGGTAGAGTGGAAAACTATTAATGATATTGCGCTCAGGAAAGTAAGAAGGCAGGGCATCACATGGCCTATCCATGTGGACATCCAAGGGATCCAGGTCAATGACAGGATGTGGAACAGAGAGAAAGTCTTTCGATTCAGCGCCAAAGTTTTAAATGAGAGTAAATGGCAGGTAGATTTGTGTTTTTGGTTTTTTTTTAAGATTCATTTATGTATACAAGAGCTGGGATACAGGCCAGAGGTGTAGGTCTGTCTCTCTCACCAGAGACAGAATGGGGAACAGAATAGGCAGATTGAAATACACTGCAGGGGAGCAGTGAGCGAGACAGGAGAGGTCTGCTGTGCCATGTGGGTTACTCCCTGGCAGGCCAGGGATCGAACTTTTGCTGCAGACAGCTTCATAGGTTGCGTCTTAACCCCTTGTGCCACCTGGGAGGCCCGGCAGGTAGATTTATAAGAAAACAGTGGATGTGATTATTAGATGTGCCAAATGGTTTGAGCCTCAAAGGAGCTGAGCTTTGTGTTTGAAAGTCGAGGAGGAAAAGTAATAGTACGGACAGAGAATAGTTTTTTTCTGCAGGTTCTTACTCAACATCTCATTTGTCTCAGCCTTCACATTCCCCTTTCTAGTATCAGCTCTCTTGAGAGAATGGCATGAGTTAGGTCAAGGAAAACCTAATGCTTCTCATGTAGGTAGCTTCATAAGCTCAGTTTAATTGATGCTGCAAATTATTATGGTTAGCTGATCTGGTTGGTGGGGTTACTGAATCTCTGGTATTATGTATGGCTAAAGCAGATTGCAATGATCTCACTTTCAAACACACTGACTTTCAAACACATTGATTCCTTACAACAAAGTTTCATCTTGAACCTGAAGTGAATTTTGAACAGAGCTTAAATCCCTTTGACTGATTATAATTCCAAGAGCAGAGCCAGGTCTCGAGGAAGAGCAGCATGGTTTCAGGTTTTCAGAGGCCTAGAGTCAGTGAAGTTCATGTTCTTATTTCAGCTCGCCTTCCTAACCTCTTCCCTCCTGATCTGGCAATTGATTGACGTATAAGTGAAATAAAGTAAGAAGAAAAGGTTAACAATTTACAAAAAAGAAAAGATACCTATTTCTGTGATTTAACCATTTGTTTTATTTTTTTTTTTAAAGATTATTTATTTATACAAGCACTGGGTACAGTCAGAAGCGCGGGAGGGTGAGAGAATTCACCAGAGCCAGAGCGGGGAGTAGAACAGGCAGAAGGACCGAAGTACACTGCTGAGGGGAGCAGCGGGCGGCAAGGAGAGGTCTGCGCGCCTTGTGGGACCCTCCTCCAGTGGCCGGGGAGCAGCCGGGGATCAAACCAGCGCTGCAGAGGCTGCGCGCAGCTTCACATCCCAGCGCTCAACCACTGTGCCACCGGGGAGGCCCATTTGTTTTATTTTTTAAAAGATTTATTTATTCATGCATATAAGAGCTGGGGTACAGGCCAGAGGTGTCGGTGGCGGTGCGGGGGAGAATGAGAGGATTCACCAGAGACAGAGTGGGAAACAGAACAGGCAGATTGACCTAAGTACACTATTGAGGGGAACAGCGGGCGAGTCAGGAGAGGTCTGCTGCACGATGTGGATAGCTCCCTGGCCAGTCGGATCGAACTCATGCTGCAGTGGCTGCGGACAGCTCCATAGGTTGTGTCTTAACCCCTTGTGCCACCAGGGAGGCCTCATTTGTTTTATTTTTAAGGTAAATTATTTCTGAGTCATGTGATAAGATTCCAGTTTTTAATATTTTTATTGATAAGAAAAGGAAAGAATTGTCATTTTTTTTACTGGTGACTGCAGAGATCAATAGTAGGGGAAAAAAACTTTGAAATCTTTGTGTAATTTCCACATTTTCCATTAAATTATATGACCTTTGGCAGGGAACTTCTCAGCTTATCAGTTTCTCTCGCCTGTAAAGCCCTGTGTGTATTGATGTGCTGCCATGTACCATGTCCTTGGAACCCGCATCTGCACTTCCCCAGATGTACCTGTGTGTGTGCTGAGGGTATTCCTATTTTGCTTCCCACTGTGTTTTTGTCAGTGTTTTCTAAGTCCCTTTGTCATTTTGGTAGCTACTATTTTCATATTGTTAAAAACATGCTTGCATTTTAAAAAGAAAGCAGGTACTGGGAAAGATCAAGAAAATTACCATGTATCTCTTGTTATAAAATCCTGGTCATGCATGGGGTTTCAAGGTCAGTGCATCACTGCACAGTAACCACATAGGTAATCTCATTGTATACATACAGGGCCTGTTTTTTAGAAATGTAAAACTCTTCTTTGATGATATAATTAATACTTTAAATATGAAAATAGTATCGGAAATCCCAGTGTCCTGATAACTTTCCCTTCTGCTACATTAGTACCTCCCCTGGATCCCTGCCTCCGTATTAACAAGTTAGTTTATATCTTCCCATATTTTGTATACTCAGGTAATTCTATGCAATCCATTGGTACACACAGATCTATAAACAGATGGTGTTTCTGTCATTGTCTGATATACAAAGATGGAATCATAATGTATATAATTTTTAGTAGAGTGTTAGATAAAAACACTATCCCATGTTTGAAGAATGTCTATGTATCATCTTGCAGACCACATTAGAGCATGCAAGGCCTGAAGAACCGAGCTGGGATGAAGATTTTGCAGATGTGTACCATGACCTAATCCATTCTCCCGCCTCTGAAACGCTCCTCAATCTGGAACATAATTACTTTGTTAGTATCTCAGAACTGATCAGTGAAAGAGATGTGGAGCTGAAAAAATTACGAGAGAGGTATTTCAAATTTCTTGCATTATCATAATTTAGTGTTACATTGTCAAATGTGATAGTCTGCAGAACAACTTGTTTTCATTTTTTATAAGAGTGAAGAATAAAATAGAAAAAAATCTTTAATATTAGAAATTGTCTTGTGTGTTTAAATCTGTAATATGTACTGGGAAGGTCCTCATAGGCATATATGTCAATTGTCTTACCTAAATAAATTATGGTAGGTTTTTGTATTCTTATTTCTAATAGGAAGAATAGCTTACTTCTTGAAGGTTTACTTTGTTCCAGGCACTATACAAAGTGCTTAGCAACAGAAATGTATTTCTCACAGTTCTGGAAACTGGGTAATCCCAAGTCAGGGTGCCAGCAGATTTGGTGTCTGGCGAGGATCCACTCAGGCCTTGAGACAGTGCCATCTCCATGTGTGCTCACCTGGCTCTTCCTCGTTGTGTGCTTCTCTAGTCAAGAGAAAGCTTTTGCATCTCTTCCTGTAAACACTAATTCTATCATGCAGGCTCTACCTTTGTGTCCCCCCTCCAAATACTGTCACACTTGGGGTTAGGATCTTAACATATGGATTTGGGGGGACCCAGACATGCAATATATAACAGATGCCCTATCTCATTTGATCTTTACCACCTTTTACTGTGATCATCATCCCCATTTTACAGATGAGGAAACTGAGGCTTAAATAGGTGATTTGTCTAAGGACAAGCTGGAATTTGAAACCAAATCTCTTAACCATTATACCATGCTGTCTCCCTATTCTGAACCTATTTAAAATCCTTCTGTAACTAAGTCCATTTTGTAAGTTTATTTACAATGGGAAAAAATGACAGTTTGTTTTTCCTAATTTTAATTAGATTTAAATTCATTCAGTATGGATTGCTTCATACAACAATGCTTTTGTGATTATTTTTCTTCAGAGAAAGTAAATATTGCTGGTGGTATTTATAACTTCCCAGAATGTTTTCCTAGTAATTCTATAAATTTTAAAATAATCCAGGACATGCATTAGAAGAGTCTAATGATATTTATTACCTTAAAAACATTAAAAGACTTTAGGCTTATGTGACCTTACGATAATGTTTTTAGTGTTGTTTTGTAAATTTCCTTGATCATGAGTATATTAGCACTAAATCATTTTTTTTTGTGACTTGAGTTAATTTTAAAATAATTGATTTTAAAATGATGTGTGGGCTTGCTCTGATTAACTTCATATTGGAAAACACTGGAATGAGCAAGATGAGAATAATCAGTTATTTTGAGGGCTGTCATAGTTAAAAAAATTTAAAACACAAAAATCATAAGCAGTTAGATTTAACCTTTTCTCATAAGGAATGTGTACCACATGGGCATTTTTATTAAATTACATAGGTTTATGCATTTTTATTACAATTCTCCTACTTCCCTGTACCTTTTATTCTCAAATCTAGTAAAATAGTAGAACTATCTGTTTCAAAAAGGACATGTTTTGAGGCATTTCTCACTCTTTATGGGTTTGAGTTTGCTGATTAATTGTACTGAGATGGTTTATTTCTGTCTAGATGGACTACCTAAAATATGAGTAGTTGCTGCCAGGTAAATAGTTGAAGCTGTCCCTAGAGAAGACAAAAATTTGATATTTTTCTAGTTCTTTATTAGATAGCCAATAAATTTGTGAATATATATTTAAACTAAAAATGAAAAACTAGAGGTTTTAAAATATATAGAAATTTGATCACATACTATTGATTACTTACCTTTTGTTGGACTTCATTTGCTTGATTTCTTCCTACTAAGGCTTAAACTACATTACCTTCAACTCATTCTGAATCTGTTCTTGGATCCCAGATTTTCAGGGACTACATTAGTTTTGTCTGCTTAGGTTTATTAATAAATTACCAGCTTGGATATGTACTTCACATCTACTGCCATTACTAGTCCTTTCATTCTACTGATAAACTACTCTAAGTTGGGGCCCACTTACTGCACCTACCAGAAAACCCCATATCTGGCCATCAGTATTCCGTAATTGTTCTTTTTTTTAAATAAGAAGAATATTTCCTTTCCATACAACGTTTTACCCTTTGGGAAGATGAATTAATTTACTGATTAATTATTTGCACTTACCAGTACTTTATGGGTCTTTTTTCTGTCTTGGGGTTGTTTTTCAGTAGGGGTTTGCTTTGGTTTATATTTTGAAATGTTCTTTTGTTATATATTTTTTTTTTAAAGATTTATTTATTTATTTATTTATTTATTTATTTATACATGCACTGGGTACAGTCAGAAGTGCGGGAGGGTGAGAGAATTCACCAGAGCCAGAGCGGGGAGCAGGGCAGGCAGAAGGACCGAAGCACACTGCCGAGGGGAGCAGCAGGCGGCAGGAGAGGTCTGCGCGCCATGTGGGACCCTCCTCTGGTAGCCGGGGAGCAGCCGGGGATCGAACCAGTGCCGCAGAGGCTGCGGGCAGCTTCGCAACCCAGCGCTCAACCGCTGCGCCACCAGGGAAGCCCTCTTTTGTTATATTTTTTGATGGAGCTTTGCTTTTTTGCCCCTGAACTTATAAGCAATATTTGAATGCTTTACTTTAAAAATAGTTTGTAGTTTATTTTTCACATGTCCAAACTGCTAGCTTTAGCTTAAAAGGAAAAGTGAACTATGTTCAACTTAATGTAGGTAATATTTATTGTGAAGGTGAATAGTATGATTTAAGGTAAGGTGTAATTCACTTGCATCTGTGGAAATTCATCCAGAATTTTGGTGCTTAAATTAATATATCCAATTCATGAGCAGAAATGACTCATTTTTCAAGTTTCTCCTTTTAATGCCATTTTACAGTTTTAAAAAGGCATTTTACATTTTATAGTTCCTTAGCACAGCGTTAATATAATTATAATGATTGTTTTTCTTAAGTGTCTTAAGGTTATAGAATTGTCATGCTTGACATATTGAGTCAATATGTAGTTAGTATTTCATCTGAGATGTAGTATAATTTTTATCTTAATCATAGAAAATGCTTAATTTGTGTCATTAACTGTATAACTGACTACTTGGTATTTGCATTTAAGGTGAAATAAAGGTTAGTGAAATTTTATTTGCTGAAATGTAGTTTTCCTCACTGGAAATGTACTGTTTAAGCAAACCAGATTTCTTTTAAACTCAAAATAGCAATGATACCTTTTATCCACTAGAGGGAACATGTGTATTGTAAAATATTAATTATGCATATCTAAGCTAGTCAATGTTTAGCAGTTATATCCGTTTTAAATTATAAGACTATGTTGTCAATGATCATTTCTATAGTAAATTAAATGAAAACCTTACTTGGAAGTATTATCTTTATCTGATTTAGTAGTTATTAAAAAGTTAATGAGGTCAGTGGGGACTAAATGGTATTGAAGGTATACATAGAAATGTATAAATGTATAGTAAAAAAATTTGTTTTATCATATATATCTTAACCAGTTCTTATTTAAAAAGTATAAATTCATTTTAAGGGCTATTTATTTAAATCAACTTTGTGCACTTAATATCAGTTCGAGTCTTAATAGTTAATTGGCAGCTTCTAGTTGATGAATACCTGATTTGCTTATTTATGTTTTAGACAGGGTATTGAAATGGAAAAAGTGATGCAGGAATTGGGGAAATCATTGACAGATCAAGATGTAAATTCATTGGCCGCTCAACATTTTGAATCTCAGCAGGCAAGTCAAGTACAGTGACTTTTAGGTTTGCAGTTATGTTTTCTTTTACCTATCATTTTTGTAAGAAAAGTAACTGGAGGGTATACTGTCTCTTTTTAGGACTTAGAAAATAAATGGTCTAATGAATTAAAACAATCAACTGCCATCCAAAAGCAGGAGTATCAGGAATGGGTGATAAAACTTCATCAAGACCTAAAAAATCCCAACAATAGCTCCCTCAGGTATTAACCAAACATTGTTCTTACTGCATGAAAGCTCATTGTTAGTAATACTTCATATTTAGTGCAAAGTTGAACCTTTTTAGTTGAAGGTATTTTTAAATTCCCAATGAAAATTCAAGATAATTTTGTGCTTCTTTTAAGGCTTTTTACGTTACAGACTGTATGTGGATTATTTATCTTCGATCCATCTGCCTGTTCTACTCCCCACTTGCTCTTTCTTTCACCTTCCCGCCCCTCTGACCTGTACCCCAATTCTTGTATAAATAAATAAATCTTAAAAAAAAAAGAAAATATTTCATTAGTTTGCTTGTCACCTCAAATCTTTCATGGGCTCTAGGAAAGTGATGATTATCTGGCTTTTTCTTGTTATTACAATGGAAAAATGTTCTCTTATGGCTTTCTACACCCTGAAGTAGGATATTTTATTGATTTAAGCTTATTTTTAGGTTACATTTGTCATATTTACTAATGAAGTCAGCTTTATTAACTCCAAAAATTTAGTCAGGGGAATGGATTACTGTTATAGAGTTACATTATCCACTGCATACTGTGAAATTTGAAATGAACAATTGGACAATTATAGTGCCTCCATGGGAAATCTTTTTAGAAAATTCAAGAACAGAGTAGAGCAAAGAGAGAAATCTTCCTACGGAGGAGAATGGTGGGGGGTAGGGGCAGGAAGACAGGAAATGGTTTAAAACAATAGACGATGTAACTATATCAAAATGAACATCTTTTTTAATAATTCCTTTTCATTTGACTATTTAATATCATTTCTGTCACTTTGTCTATTTTCTGTTTTTGCTAGAGCCAGCCCCGGTATAGGATGTATTTTTTAAAATATGTTATTTTAAAGTAATGTGAGTCATGTCATTTAATTATTCTTACAGGCCATTAGAACTATTAAATGGCAATATATAAATTGATATTTTAATGACTGAAAAGAATAATATGCATTACTTAACTGTGAGGAAATGAAAGAATAAGTGGGAGTTTTAGAACTTACTATTGTTCATGATCCTACTAATCACCATGGATAAAAGATGAGTTTAGGAATAAATTAAATGCTGTTTTCAGCTCTTTAGTTTTTCTCTTGATAAAGCACTCTTGAAGAAAATTTTTTAACAAACAGAAAAAATATCCATAATTTTATTAATTTCAGTGAGGAAATTAAAGTTCAGCCAAGTCAATTCAGAGAATCTGTAGAAGCAAATGGAAGGATTTATGAGGAACAGAGAAAGTTAGAAGAAAGCTTTACCATTCACTTAGGTAAGTATTACTTTTTTGCCTTCTTAATTTATCTAACTTGTGAAATTCTTTATGCCATAAGAGAAAAATCCTAGCCTATAAGTAGAATGTAATTATTTTTATTCCCAAATTATGTCCTGCTCCAAGAAAACCTGTTGTTTGTTGGCTTAGCTTTTCTATTTTAACTTTGTTATTTTTTGCAAATAGAAAGATTGAATACTATCAGTTATTAAAATGGAATATCTCAACACCCATTTTTAATTATTTATAGTGTAGGGTGCTCTGGATTCTTACCATTAAGATTTGCACCCCTTTTATGCAAGATTTCTTTTTTTTTTAAGGATTTATTTTATTTTGATGTATACGAGAGCTGGGGTACAGGCCAGAGGTGGGGATGTGTGAGAGTATTCACCAGAGACAGAGTAGGTAACAGAACAGGCAGATTGACTGAAATACACTGCTGAGGGGAGCAGCGAGCAATTCAGGAGAGGTCTGCTGCACCATGTGGGTAGCCCCCCTGGCCGGGAATCAAACTCATGCTGCAGTGGCTGTGGTTAGCTTCATAGGTTGCATCTTAACCTCTTGTGCCACCAGGGAGGCCCCTCCCCCCGTTTATACAAGATTTCTGCAGCTGTCTAAGCATCTTTCTGGGTCCATTGCCTCCCCTCATAGGAGCCCAGTTGAAGACCATGCATAATTTGAGATTACTGCGAGCAGATATGCTGGACTTCTGTAAGCACAAAAGAAATCATCGAAGTGGTGTGAAACTCCACCGACTCCAGACAGCACTCTCGCTTTATTCCACATCTCTCTGTGGCCTGGTTTTACTCGTAGATAATCGAATCAATTCATATAGTGGTATTAAAAGAGGTAAGTTAACATCATACATAGTTATTTCTTTAAATTTCTCCTTGTAATATCATTCTTACAAAGGTTTTATGGAAAAACTCAAATATTCTTGGTCACCCCAGTAGACCAGTAGCACATTTACTTGGCCATAGCAGGCTTACTTTTGTTTCATACGTCAGCATGGATAGAATGCTTCAGGATATTTAATTCTTATGATTTTTTTATGTTATAAATAATACTCTTACAGGATCTTTGTTTTAAGATTTAAAAAAGAATACTCATGACATAAATGTATGTTTCAATTTAAAAACAGATCCTGGTTCAGTGAATTTTAGTTCATTTATTATTTTTTTTTTATGATAACCTGAAAATTTTTGAATATATAAAAATGTGTTGAAATGTTGAACTATTTTTAAAAATACATGAATAGTTTATTTCCTATCATAAATATAAGACTCTAATTGTATTTTGTAGCACTTTTGGGATTATGATCACAGTATCTACTATTTAACAAAGTCTTGAATTATATTAAAATTTCCCTGTCTATTAATTATCTACTCTTTTGAGTGATTGAGAGGTTAAGTTTTTTAATCAAAATTGCTGTATCCTGAGTGTGGTCTTTGTGAGCTTCCACCATGGCGTACCAAGGCCAGGGTCAGAAAGTGCAGAAGGTGATGGTGCAACCCATCAACCTCATCTTCAGATACTTGCAGAATCGACCTCGGATTCAGGTGTGGCTTTATGAGCAAGTGAATATGCAGATAAAGGGCTGTATCATTGGTTTTGATTAGTATATGAACCTCATATTAGATGATGCAGAAGAGATTCATTCTAAAACAAAGTCAAGAAAACAACTGGGTTCGATCATGCTGAAAGGCGATAACATTACTCTGCTCCAAAGTGTCTCCAACTAAAATGATCAATCAAGTGAGGAATGGTTGAGAAGCTAATGCATTTAGCTTTTTTTACCTGTTCTTTGTTGGGAAGATAGTTCTGAAACATTTGTTCTTATTGTTTTGATTACCCTTATGTTATTACCAGATGGTAATAAATTCTGTGGAATTGTTTTTATTTAGAAAAAAAATTGCTGTATCCTAACTTATTAAAAGGACAAATATAAGAAATCATACTAGGGAATCTTAAATATTCTATTTATACTAGAACTCATTGTCTAATAAGTATATACTTAGTATTTCACTTTTCACCACTAGAAGTTTGTAAATCTTCTGGGTCTCTTAGATTTTGCCACAGTTTGCCAGGAATGCACTGACTTCCATTTTCCCCGAATTGAAGAGCAACTGGAAATCGTCCAGCAGGTGGTTCTTTATGCCAGAACCCAGCGTAGGAGTAAGGTGAAAGACACAAATGGTGAGTCACACTCAAATTTTACAAAATTTTACTTTCACTCTTCTCTAAGCACTCTAATTTAGCATAAGGGTTGTCTTTAAAATACAGAAAGTTGTGTGGGTGGAAAGATGGAAGAAGGAAATTAAGAGCGAAAGTCAAGATCTCAGAAGCCCGATAAATTCTGTTATTTCCTTTCTTGTATGGTTTTGCTCAAGGTCCTTAGCTGCCTTTAAATTTTTTCTGCTTATTAATTTATATATTTTTACATCATTGTTCATTTGATACAGTGTTTGATTTCTCTTCTTGGGTGTTGTCCCTGTAAAATCACCACCACCAAGATACCTGTGAACCGTCACCATGGACTCTTGTGTTCTTCCCTCTCCCTCCCCTAATGAATGCCTCCAGTTAATCGTTTGGCTGTTAGTTTTGTCTTTTTTGCCTTTAAATTTTAATTCCATAGTTGTTCTGGAAGTTGGCTCTTGTGGAAAGTTACTGATCTCTAATCTAAGTGATATAGCTCCAAAGTGAATATCATTATCATTATAGAGTATTGAAGTGAGAGGACATGGTAGCGCAAAGTACAACCATTTTCTGTGTTCCATCTTTGATTTGCTGAAGTATCATGAAATCAATTGTTTGTAGTTGTTCCTTCAAAAATTTGCTATTTCTTTGAATAATTGATTTTTCTATATTTATCCACAATATAAACATTCTTTCTAATTTTTTAGTAAATTTCTGGAAAATGTTTTTAAAGCTATGGAAAAAGTTTGTGGCCTCTCTCTTTAGACGTTTTCTATATGTACAGAGAGAAACTTAAGGAAAGACATACGTGAAAGAAAAAAATCCTGCTCAAAGCATAATTCTGTGTTTAATTAAAATAATGAAAGCTTAAACAAGTACTTTATAAATTAAATCAGAGCCATAGTTTTTTGTTTTTTTTTTTTAGTTAGGAGCTAAATATAAGAGTAATATTCATTTAAAAATATTTTCTGACATTTCATTTTGTGTCACAGACATAAAATCACAATACATGCTCTTATCTGTCTTGAATAAATACACATTATTTTATTATTTTTTGTGAAAACTTGATGGTCTTGCTCAGGAAACAGAATATGGCAAGCTTTAAAATTGTGGCTAGTCACACCTTTAAATTCCCTCCTGGGTGTCTTTTGTTTGTTTTGTAACTGTAGTGTTTAAAACAAACCATCTCAGTACTTTTGGCTCATATCTTTTGTGTTTTGTATTAAGCAAAGAGATATTGTTATAACTTTGCCTGGTGTCTTTGTCCTCTATCCTCCTGTAAATTGTAGAATCCCTCCCTTTCTCTTATTGCTAGGATGTATTTAGACTTAACTTGATTGGCATTCACTGTTGTTTCCTTATTTATTCAACAGATGCTAAAAAGACATTTTGGTTTTTAATAATTTCTTAAACAAGTAAAACATTCTCAAGACTCACAATTCAAACTGCATAAAAGAGCATACAGTGAAAGTCTTCATCACTCTGTCCCCCAGATATCTAATTTCCCACTCCTGAGGTAGCCAATGGTATCTCATCTGTACCTTTCCTGACATAAGTTTCTGCATATGTGAGCACATGTATGTGGGCAGTCTTTCCCCTTTGCACCCTTTACTGTACTCTGTTTTTTAAACTAATTAGATTATCTTGAAGACCATTTCACATCAGTACATAAAGGGCACCCTCTCATCTTTTACTGCTGCTTAGTCATCTATTGCAGGATGTCCCATTATTAGTCAGTATTTTATTGATAGACATATAATCTGTTCTAAAGTTTTTGCTACTGTAAGTAATAATGCATGAATAACCTTATAACCTTGCACATATGTCAGTGTATATGTATGTGGGTACACATAGCTATAGACTAGATCCCTAAGGGAAATTTCTGGGCTTAAGAGCACATATATTTATTTATCATTTTGATAGTGTCAGCAACTGCTCTGATAGTAGCTCCAGCAGTTGATAGTCCCACTAAAGGTGACTATGACTTTGCTGTGGCAAATGCATGTTATGACAGAGCCAGATTAAGTGTTAGAAAATCAAAATGGAAATAGATTTTAACAAAAGGCCTTTTAGAAAGTTCCTCTTACCCTTCTACACTTTCTTCGGCCATCCCATTCAAACTAGCAATGAAGTGATCAGAAACATTTTATCCTTATTCTTAGTAGTGACTAAAAGCATGCAGATTGAGATCATGACAGGTGTGGAAGAAGGAGGAGGATTCTAAGTATATTTGTGAGAGATAGAAAGTGTGCAGTAAATGACAGGAAGTTTTTAAACCACATACGGTTAAGGCAATGCTTGTACATCATGGTATTATTTTGTTCTTGTCAAGCAACTATTTTGTGGTTTAAGTGAGTCAGTGAAACAAGTAGGTTTATAAAAGACAACTTTCTTAAAGGAAGCTGCATGTCATTCTAGGAGAGTTTTGTGAAAATACTGCCTTTCCCTCCCCTGTGATGCCCATGTATTTGTTCTGTTTGTTTATATCCTGATGCGCAAGTACCTGTTTATTCTAAGACATTCCGTCATTGTCCTTACTGTATTTATTGGATTAGCATCTTTATATTTCTACAGTCCATGATGAAAAGTCAAAAAGAGTGTGTTTTGTGCATACTTAATAGACATTTTTTAAATTAAAAATAGCCATCTTCTTAATATCACAAGATATTACCATTAAAACATGAAAGGGGGGAGGGCCTCCCCGGTGGCGCAGCGGTTGAGCTCTGGGTTGCGAAGCTGCCCGCGGCCTCTGCGGCGCCTGTTCGATCCCCGGCTGCTCGAGCTCTGGGTTGCGAAGCTGCCCGCGGCCTCTGCGGTGCCGGTTCAATCCCCGGCTGCTCCCCGGCCACCGGAGGAGGGTCCCACATGGCGCGCAGACCTCTCCTGCCGCCCGCTGCTCCCCTCAGCAGTGTCCTTCAGTCCTTCTGCCTGCTCTGCTCCCCGCTCTGGCTCTGGTGAATTCTCTCACCCTCCCGCGCTTCTCACTGTACCCAGTGCATGTATAAACAAAACAAACAAACAAATAAATAAATAAAAAACATGCCTCTATTAAAAAAAAAAAAAAACATGAAAGGGGGAAAACAGTGGGAGAAAGTGGATGAACTATGAACTCTTCTCTCTTGTTCACTTAATAAGGATTCTGTTTGTTTATATCTCATGGACATAAAGTTAGTCTTCTTTTTTAGTGTGCTATGACATTAATTCAAAGCTTGTCAATTATAGCTCTGTATGAGAAGCTGTTATGTTAATTACATTACATTAATTATGGATCCTGGCAACATGAAGCTTCTCTCAATGCCTCTTTCTTCCACTGTCCCTTATTTATAAAATACATGTTTTTACAAGTTATGTTATAAATCAAGTTGTCAAAGTAGTCACCAGATAAAAATATTAAGTTATTTTTATGCTAAATATTTTTGAACTGTAATATCCCCTGGACATTTGCAGTTTACTCATTTGAAGTTTTGGCGATTTTCAAGTGATTTTCTGATCATGAAAACCGTTCCAAAATATTTTCTTATTTTATTGGAATAAATACATAGTCTCTTAGAGAGAGCCATTTGGGGGCCTCCCCGGGTGGCGCAGCGGTTGAGCGCTGGGCTGTGAAGCTGCCTGCAGGCTCTGCAGTGCTGGTTTGATCCCCGGCTGCTGGCGAGGGTCCCACATGGCGCTATAGACCTCTCCTGCCGTGCCCGCTGCACCCCTCAGCAGTGTATTTCGTCAGTCTGCCTGTTCTGCTCCCCGCTCTGGCTCTGGTAAATTCTCTCACCCTCCCATGCTTCTGACTGTACCCAGTGCTTGTATAAATAAATAAATAAATCTTTAAAAAAAAAAAAAAAGCCACTTGGAATGCTAATACTTATTCTGCATTTTTGAGCTCTGATAGAATTCTTATAAAAATCAGGTGTATTTTCTATTTTTTGTCATTATTTTAAAAAGCAATCATTTTTAAAAATAATATTTTTGTTTTGTAAGGAAAAAACAAAGCACCCACCACCATCCATTACACCCACTATTCTTACTCCCACCTTTTCACCTCTGGTAACCTCAGGCCAGCTATCAGTGTCCATATGCTGTTTTTTATTTCATTTTCTCTGTTCATCCCTTTTATTTCCTTGTATTGCTCACATAAGTGAAATCATCCAGCATTTGCTTTGTCTCTCTAATTAATTTTGCTTCACACAATCCCTTGAATTCTTTCCATTTTCTTTGAATGGCAAAATGTCATCTTTTAACTGAATAGTATGCCCTCTTCTCTGTGCCTTCTCCTATCAGCGGGTACTTAGCTTCTTCCAAATCTTAGCTATTATAAATAGTGCTGCCACAAACATTGTGGTGTACACAGCTCTGGGGTTGATGACTTCCTATGCTTCAGATGGAACTGCTGGATCCTAGGGTAGTTCTATTTTTAGTTATTTGAGAAACACCCATAGTACAGATGTATCTTCTATTAGAAATACATGTATGTATGCAAAATAACTTATGTTCAACTGTAATAATGTATGATCAGTTGTGATGTGTCTTGTTTCACCAAACATTTATGCTTCTAAATAACATGATGTCTTCTAAAAAGATAAAACTTTGGAATATCTTTTTTAAAAATCTCATTTAAAAGAGACTCTCATATCTGTTTGAAATAAATTGTATGTAATTGTCAGACAAGAAGTAACAAATTTCAGAAGTGGGCTAAATTTCAAGTGATTCCTGGTGTTACTAGCCATTTGTTTGTAGTCCTGAACAAGTTAATATCAACAACAGTGACTCAGATTCTAAAAATAAAGATGGCCGCACGACAGCTATCTAATGAAGGTATTTTATGAGTAGTTAATTTAGTATCCTGAACCTCCCAGATGAAAAATAGGATATTGGCAGGTGTAATGTGGTTAAGATCATAGGATTGGAAATCTGAGTATGTGAGTTGAAGACCTAGTTTCACCACCTATCTATCCATTCTTGGTTACTTTAATTAGCCTGTCTAAGCCTCTGTTTCCTCATGTGTAAAATGAAGATAGTAGTAGTACTTATCTCTTAAGTACTAAAATCATAAAGTTATGGTTTTAGGGGTTTAATAAGAACTAAAGGAGCTGATTGATGTAAAGCATGTATCAGAATGCCTGGCTCCTAGAGATCTTTAATTTTGTTGTTGTGATTGCTTGGGAATAATGGTACTGATATGTTTTCTTATGTTGTTGTGTTCTTTCTTGTTGTATTATCTTATGGCCAGATTCTGGAAACCGAAATGGAGGAAATGATGATAAGACTAAAAATGCGGATAGAAACTATTTAAATATTTTACCTGGTAAGTATTATTTTAAACTGTCATTTTCTTATAATTCCAAACATGGAAATCATGGATTGGAAATCTAAGTCCTTAGGGCATGCATTGCAGAAAGCTTGTGGTGCATCGCTTTGAAGCAAAATTGTTTCTGTAGTACACTTTCACAATTATTCTACATTTTAAATCTTTAGTCTTATACTAGTACTGACTTTTTTCTAGATCTATGAAAGAAAAGTTGCATTTGATCATGTGTTATTTCACATTTTACCCTTTATACATTGTTTCTTAATAAATAAACCAAGAAATATTTTTTTATTCAGAAATAGAAACAGTAGTACATTGAGATCTAAACAGTTGAACTTGAAGAAACAGGGGTCACCTGACTTAAAAATCTTTCTTATTTCCATTTCCCCATAAATTGTTGCTTTCATTTCTTTTATTCCCTTTATTATTCTTGAATATGTTCCTTATCAGTGAGAAATTTAGCCTCTTGAGTCCCTTCTGGATTGAATACATTGTAATAATCCTTATCAGTATTTGTAAGACAGGGTATACAAGGAAGGTCTATTTATTTACTTTATAAGCATAAAGTTTGTTGAACGAATGGTAACTTTTGCCATTTCATAAATAACCGAGGTTGTTTCCTCATACTTCCTTCCCCAGATTTTCTACGTAGGTCACATCCCATCTAATCTAAGCAAATAGCATACCCATTTCTGGTATCCATCTTGTCAGTCCCAGTGGCTTAGCTTGTGGTCATCAGCTTCCGAATTTCCTCCCACCTTCAAATACCCTACCTTAGTGGATAATGTTAGAGCAGGATTACATCACCAAATGCCATTTCCTCTACTCTGTAGAACAGGAAACTAACCTCCTCTCCATCTAAAAATACCATCATTGAGACAGGATTTATTGTATTTCTCTTCATAGATCCATAATTTAGATCATCCATATTCTGCTACTTTCTTAAAATGTACCAATCTTGCTATCTATTCCAGAGGTACTGATGTCTGATTTTTTGAAACTTAACTCTTTGTTGCAACATTTATTTTCTTCTTTACTCCTTTTTGGAAAAAGTCTAGAAGTTAGTATCTCATTATACCATCAAATCAGGAGGATATGTCATAAGTTTGGACTAGATAAAGAATATTAAATTGTTCAGTTAGTCTGATAGCATCTGAATTTCCATTTAGTTAAAGGATTCCTACACAGCCAGGAAATTGACTTGAGATAAAAAAAAAGTTCCAAATTCCAAATTCTTTTTAAAGTTTTAAGTGGCAAAGAAAAAACAGTTTTGTATATATTTTTTTAAGCTGTAGGTTTGCTTTACCATTATCTGAGAATTTACAGTTTATATTGTCTTATTCTTTTTTTTTTTAAAGATTTATTTTTTATTTATGCAAGAGCCGGGGTACAGGCCAGATGTGCAGGAGGGTGAGAGGATTCACCAGAGATAGAGCAGGGAACAGAACAGGAAGACTGACAAAATACACTGCTGAGGGGAGCAGTGGGCCAGACAGGAGAGGTCTGCTTGCCATGTGGGTTGCTCTGAGGCCAGCGGGGATCGAACTGGCACTGCAGAGGCCGAGGACAGCTTCACAGCACTGCGCTAAACCACCTGCGCCACCAGGGAGGCCCCTATATCATCTTATTCTTGTAACAACTTTGCAAGGAAAGGAGTCGGACATTATTTATCCCTTTTCATACATTCAACAGAGTATCTAGTTGAATTGATTTGCCCAAGAACACTCAGCCAATAAGTGCTGGAGACCAGATCTTAACACCCAATCTACCCCCTTTTCTGCTATATCATATTGTTTTGATTACTACTCCCAGCTCCATGACCCCCATTTTACTGATGGGTACAGTGAGGATGAAAGACAAGTCAACTAAGGTCAAACAAAGCAGGGCCAGTTTGGGGATGAGGAGCTCCTGGCTACTTCATTAACTCATCCCGCTTCACTACTTACTGGCTCATAGCCCCTCTCAATGCTGCAGCCTCTATCATCTAAATTCTCAGCAGGGGTTGAGGAGGTAATATACTGAATGGGTCCAGAGCATAGCATCTTACATAGTCTACCAGGTTTCTGGTCAGAAGTCTGTGTCTTCATTGTTTTTCAGGGAAGTCATTATACTGGTGCTCATTAGTTGGTTTTTTCTTTGTCTAGTTTATTTTAGTATCTCTGTAGCACTTTTTTTTTATGTGTATCTCGTTCTTTTATCTTAAGTTCTAAAAAGAGAGATTTGCCTAAAACCTGTCAGTATGTCCATGGATACAGTGTATGAACTGTCCATAAGAGTGGTTAAACATTGCACAGAAATGTATAAAGAACTTAAAATATACTAGATATTTATGCATAGATACAAGTAAAAGCTTGAAATAGTGACTCTGAAGCAAGGGTGAGCAGAATTTGTGAGAACAGCACCTAGGAATGGAAGAGTAGTTCTTAGAAGAGCAAAGCTTTTCTAGAAGGACATGTCAGGATTTCCAGTGATGCATACATATTTGTCAAATATATATTCTTTGTATCTTTTATATTTCACTTATTTGCATTGACAGAAACTGCAGAATACAAAAGCTGATGAGATTTTTTTCTGATTAGGATGGTTATACATACTAGTGATTATAGGAAGCATGGATTTTTTTTTTTGACATTTTATTTTATTTATTTATTTATTTGTTTGTTTATACATGCACTGGGTACAGTCAGAAGCGCGGGAGGGTGAGAGAATTCACCAGAGCCAGAGCAGGGAGCAGAGCAGGGAGCAGAGCAGGCAGAAGGACCGAAGTACACTGCTGAGGGGAGCAGCAGGCGGCAGGAGAGGTCTGCACGCCATGTGGGACCCTCCTCCTGTGGCCGGGGAGCAGCCGGGGATCGAACCGGCACTGCAGAGGCTGCGGGCAGCTTCGCAACCCAGCGCTCAACCGCTGTGCCAGCAGGGAGACCCAGGAAGCATGGATTTTAAGGTTTGATAAACACTTCCAGCATTCAAGTCTAAATATTGAACAAATATTTATTGAGTACCTCCTGTGTATTTTGTGTGCATAACACAGAACATAACACAAGCTCGACAAAACCCCTATAGCCAGAATGTAACTCGTTAGCTACATAAGAAAAAGCATTTTGGTGTTGAGGAGAGAATAAAACAACAAAGTAAGAGAGAATAAGTGAGGGCTTAGAGAGTTCTCTATCAGACAGGACTGTCCAAGAAGACCACTCTGAGAAGGTGACCTTTGATCTGATGAAAGAAGTAAGCCATGCAAGAATTGGGGAAACAGGCTTTTCACATAGCAGTCTTAAATTAGGAACAAGGTATCCATTTTTTTTTAACATTTATTTATTTATATATTTATTAAAGGTTTATTTATTTATTTATACAAGCACTGGGTACAGTCAGAAGCGCGGGAGGGTGAGAGAATTCACCAGAGCCAGAGCGGGGAGCAGAGCAGGCAGAAGGACCGAAGTACACTGCTGAGGGGAGCAGCGGGCGGCAGGAGAGGTCTGCGTGCCATGTGGGACCCTCCTCTGGTGGCCGGGGAGCAGCCGGGGATCAAACCGGCGCTGCAGAGGCTGCGGGCAGCTTTGCAACCCAGCGCTCAACCACTGCGCCACCGGGGAGGCCCAAGGTATCCATTTTTGAAGAACTGAACAGGAGGAGAGATGGGAGAAAAGAGGACTTTAGACACGTAGGGAAGACCCACACCATATAGGCCTTGTGGACCTCGGTGAAACATTTGGAGTTTTTTCTAAATTTAATATGAGCCTGTTGGATAATATTAAAGAGGGATAATGTAATCTGATTTATATTTAAATCATTTTGGCCATAATGTGGAAATGGTTTGTTGGGAAAGGATGGAATCAGAGAGCTCAATTAATAATAGACATCTATTACAAAAACCTCAATGAGATGAGGTGATAATAATAAGATGGAGTGTGGGCCTCCCTGGTGGCGCAAGGGGTTAAGACGCAACCTATGAAGCTATCTGCAGCCACTGCAGCACGAGTTCCATCCCCTGCCAAGGAGCTACCCACATGGCGCAGCAGACCTCTCCTGACTTGCCTGCTGCCCCCCCCCCAGCAGTGTATTTCAGTCAGTCTGCCTGTTCTGCTCCCCACTCTGTCTCTGGTGAATCCTCTCACCCCCTGCACCTCTGGCCTATACCCCAGTTCTTGTATGCATAAATAAATAAATCTTTAAAAAAAATAAGATGGAGTGCTTAGATTTGAGATATTTGTTGGCGATAACAATGAAAATAGTTGGTGGTGAACTGGATTGTGGATTGAGGGAAAGGAAGTAATTGAGGGCAACAGTTAGTTTTTGTCCAGATTAACTAACTGGATGAAGATTAGTCCCATAAATTAAGGTGGGAAGAACAGATTCAGGGTATTGGAAATACCTTAATAGACTTAAGAAGTAGCATCTAACGTGGGCCATTTCAAGAATTTACATCAAAATGGTGACTATGAGTACTCATGTGACTGACTGACTACTTTGTCACCTCTTCATACCAATTTCTTTCCCAGAATGTGGAAGCAGCAGTAATCCTATCTTCATCCTAAGTCCACTAGCCTCCTGATATAACTCTTCTAGTTCAGCACACGGCCTGCCCATTGCAGTTATTTGTAAGGCCTATTGAAGAGTGTGATTTATGCATTTGAAAATCATGATTTTATTTCCTGTTCACAGGAGAATTTTACATTACACGGCATTCGAATCTCTCAGAAATCCATGTTGCTTTCCACCTTTGTGTGGATGACAATGTGAAATCAGGAAATATCACTGCTCGTGATCCTGCCATTATGGGACTCCGAAATATCCTCAAGGTTTGCTGTACCCATGACATCACAACAATAAGCATCCCTCTCTTGCTGGTGCATGATATGTCAGAGGTGAGCAGACGGGAAAATACTTTAATTTTATGAATATGTTAACCCTCAAATTGTATATTAATGATAATCAGATTTATATTTTGAAGGCACTTTTTTCCTCCACAAATGGATCTTTGCATCTCGCATCTGGTTGGTAGAATTGAGTGATGTATAATAGAAAACACTGAATAATCCTTATCATTTATGTTTAGAGAATTACAGCGTTAAGTAGGTTAACTGGAAAATCACGATTACCTTTAGCTTTGCATAAAACATGTGCTCCTAATCGCCTTTGCTCTGTCCTTCTCCTCTTCCTTCCCCATTTTTGTCTTAAGTAGAATTAGGTTTACCTCCACTTTATCTTTGGCTCCAGGTAACGTTAAAATTAGTTGCCTTTTCTGGGGACTCATTAACAGGCACTGGAAAGAGATGCTAGATGAGTAAAAGAAGCTGTTTTCTCAAGGATGCTCTTTGGATAATGCAAATTTTGGCTCCCACAGTTGAAAATGTCACATAAGTATTTCTTCGTTTTGTTATGTATAATACTTTTATTTATTTATTTTTTTAAAATCTCTTTCCCTGGCTGCTTCTTCTCCTTGCTTTCTTCCCTTGACCACAAAAAGACTGGAATGATTGTAGAACTAATATAAAAACTAATTTCAACCTCAAGTAGTCAGGAGGAACAAAATACCCTCAAAACCAAATGGATACAGAACAGGCAAGGCCTTAGAGGGCCACTGACCAACCTGGATGGGCAGCACCCCATCAGCAGCTTGGCCCTGTATGTTTTGAGGTAGCTTTTTTTTCAAAGCAAAATAGCTGACTGTCAAGTGCAGATTGTAAATGTCAGGAAGTGTGAGCATTGATTATTAAAAGTTATTTATCGAAATAAAAGAGGTGTGCAAATGCTATATTATAACATGCATTGTTAAAGAGTTTTTATTTTGCTTTTTAGATCGACTAAGTCATTATAACATTAGGCCTCATTTTAAATGCAATACCTTATATAAACACACAAATAATCAGCTCTATGTAAGGCAAGATGATTTTAAACAATGCCCCACTTAGAATCCATTTGTATTTTCACCATGCGCATTATTGTTTTGATGTAGAGGATTCTGAACCATTCTAGGAAAACTGCACCAGACTTTCTGATTTCTCATTCTGTTCACTTCTGTAGTCTTGTTCATACCTAATATGGTATCTGGAGAGATTGACAAATATGTTTTTCCTCCTGTAGCTTTATAAAGTTTTACTTCCATCAGGAATATTTAGCCATCGGTAAGCAATCATCACTAACTAGTCCATCTATAAAAGGGTCTTTGGGGAGTAACAGAGAAAGTTTGTGATGAATTCCAGCCACAGGGAAACATCCCAACCTTCCTGCAGCTGGACTCTTGGTTAACCAGTTTATAAAAATGGGTGTATGTAGGTGGGCAACAACCTCAAAAACAGTGTTTCCAAAAGTCACCAAGTTCAGATTTACTTCCAGACATCTGATAATACCAGCATTCCCTCTCCCAGTGTCACAGAAGGTCCGTGTTTTAAATTGGGACAGCCAGCTGCAGGACATTAAGTTTGTTTCCAAAGTGTCCATTTTCATTCACAAAAGTATATTGAGTCATAATCCTCCCATTTGTTGTATTTAAACATCCATTCAGGTCAAGAGGTTTATTCTATGAACTCAGACAGCACAGGACATAGAGGTAGCACTTGTTTTAGTTCTTGTGCTAGGAGCCCAGAGCATTTTCAGGTATTGTTTTTCTCCTCTAACACACAGACTTACTAGACACTCAGTTACCCCATTTTAGTGTGTGCAAGATAATGATGACGATGTTTCAAACAGCCTGTGCCTTCTGGCAGATTTAAAAAAGAACTGTAGAGCGGTGGTGGTGAAGTGGTGGGCATAGCTGCCTTTCAAAAAAGAACTGTAGAAATTAATTGTAGCTTTTAAAAAAAAGGAAAGGAAAAACTAATCTACTAGGAAAAAGACAGTCATACTGATATTACCAGTTTTTGAATCTCTACAGATCTTTGTGGTCTGAAGATACTGTCACTGGAGTTAGCATCCTATCAATGCAGAACAAACCCACAAGGCAAGAATCCTGAGTTCATGACTCCTTTTTACTTTTACTGTTCACTTGTTGAAAAACTTGAGAATTAGGGATTTTAATTGTGTTATTGTGGCTTATGAGATGTTGTTCTAAGCTTTTTATTGGAGTATCATACACATATAGAAAAGTATACATATTGTAAGTTTGTACCTCAGATTTTCAAAAACTGAACACCCATGTAACTAATACCCAGATTATGAAACAGAAGCCACCCTTAAACCACATTCCTCTCAAGGGTAGCTACTGTTTTCTCTTTGGAAACCAAGGATTAGTTGGGCTTGCTTTTGTGGTTTATATAAGTGGAATCATATATATATGTGTGTGTGTGTATATATATATATATATCACATATATATCATATCATATATGGTATATATAGTATATAGCATATATAAAATATATATCATATATAGTATCATATATCATATATACTATATCAGATATATAGTATATAGTATCATACATAGTATACTATATATATACTATAATCATATATATATAGTATATACACCTATATCTGTCTCCTTTCACTATTATGTTTGTGAAATTCACTATGTTGTTGTTTGTGGCTGCAGAGGATCTGTTCTCAGTGCCATATATTGTGTGACTAGACCGTGATTATTTAGCTGTTCTACTATTTATGGACATTTGGGTGGTTTCCAGGTTTTGTTTATTACTACAGATGGTGTTATGAACATTCTAGCACATATATTTTGCTATTTCTGTTGGTTTTATACTTAGAGATGGAATTGTTAAGTCTCCGGGTATACATATATTTAGCTTTAGTAGCTATAAAAGTTTTCCAAAGTGGTTGTACTTAACCCATTGTGTTTAGATATGAAAAATAAGAAAGCCAGACTATTTCTCACCATCTTATAATGGCTGTGAAACTGAATGATGCAAATATTTCAAAGGCACATACTTAAGACATAAAGAACAGTCTTGCAACCTCCCCCATAAGTGCATAAACAAAAAAATGATTCTTATATCTAATTTTCAAGACATATGATGAAGACCTAAAGCTATATACCTATAAATCTTGATCATTCTACACTTCAGTCTTACCCTAACCAGAAGATTTAAGTTGAGTAGTCAACTATTGCATTAACTTTAGATAGAAGATATTGCCTATGATCAGAATTGACACATTCAATGTCATTTTCACAGGTTTAGAATTTATTCCATGTGTAGCACCCACTTATCATCTGAAGTATAACCATAGGACCCAATCTTCTGACTCAGTTCCAAAATCTAAAATGGTTTCACATGATATGTTCAGCTTCTTCAGTTAAGTCCATGCACAGTGTATTCTCATAGGTATGACACTAAGATTCATTGCCTTGCCATTATTTAGAACCCATAATCAGTAATGCTGTTCATTGTTTCCTGACCCACTGTGTTGTATGCCCATCTGCTGTGTAATCTAAGTTTTATTTCCAGAAGTCAGTTCCTTGTGGGATTGCAGACCACATCCCACGGTAGCAGGAAGTTATGTCTTGTCACAACCTCATTGACTTTAAAGGTTATGGTTACCTTTTCCAAGTACTCAAAACCATTCTTTTTAGGAACTCGTTTTAATCAGATACATGACAGGAAAGCTTGGCAGGGAGCCTCTGTGCAGGCATATGAGAGATTTAAAAACAATTTGGATGTGCATGCAGATGTCTGGTTCATATGCTGCTAAACAACATTAAATTAAATAGAATATGAGGGTTTCTATCATCTGAGAATTATGTTCTCTATCACTTCAGATATATCCTGGGAACCTGCCATGATTGATATTTTGGGATGTTCTCTGAATAACACTGATGAAATTTTGTCACTAGCTGACATCATTCTGATAGGTGTGAAGTTCTTGGTGTGTCTCATAGATATTTGCTTGAGAATGTAATATTCACCACAGGTATATAAAAAGCTAGAAAGTATGATATTAATGGAAAAAGTTGATGATCTTTGGCGTGTGGCAATGAAAAGACTTTTTTGTCATCAAACCATTAGAACCATCCCTTCTCTAACTTGTGCCTCAGGTCTTTCTTTTTACTACCATTAACCTGATTTCAGTGCATTGAGATAATGTATATTCTGTTTGTTGGTGTTCAAAAATATCCCTTAATTTTAAAATGAAATATGCTTGTATTTTTCTCAGTTTTAATATCTAATGCACAAAGTATCAGGAACTACAGTCCACATAAACAAAAGTTCATTAGGCTCCTCAGTAATTTTTAAGAGTGTAAAAGGTCCTAAGACCCAAAACGTTTGAGAAATAAGCCATGATATGGCCATGAAATAACACATTTCATAGTTATAAGCCTGAGGAATTGCAACATGATAAAATAATTCTGATAGTAATGAAAAGAAATGGCATTTAAAGTGATATAATCTCTGATCATAACTGGAAAATTTTAAAAGTGCATCTGGTCAAAGATTAGAAAGGAACATAGAATTCATCCACTCATCTTTTCAAAAAAATATCATTGAACATTTCCTAAATGCTAGTGATATATAAACAAATTCTATTGGGAGGAGAAAATCTGAAAAGGTATCACATCAATAAGCAAAAAAAAGAAAGGAATGTAGAAAAATGAATGCAATGTAGTTAGGTGATTAGGTTATGGTGTTTATTTCCATTTTTAATAACATGTTATGCACTAAAGACATTTTAATGCATTAATTTTTCACTTATATAATTTAATAGAATTATTCATGCTTACATTTTGAAACTAGTAGGTAGAGTTCCTACATCACTTATTTTGTTTTTAGAATTAATTATCTAGGAAATTTTTAAGGATATGCTTATTTTTTAGTTATATTTACAAAATGGATTAAATTAGTTTGTACTCCACAGGTGTAGTCCAACAACTAGAAGTAGTTATATGTCTAAAACCTAGACAAAATCCAGCTGTAAATAGTTACCCAGATCAGTCTCTTTACAAGGTGGATGGTCAGCAGCATAGATAAATGAAGGTCTCACTATGTATTTTTTCACAAAGTTCTGTTAAAAACATGATTTGTCTTGTTTCTATTTTTAGGAAATGACTATCCCATGGTGCTTAAGGAGAGCAGAACTTGTGTTTAAGTGTGTCAAAGGTGAGCATGCCCTTATATTTAATAATGACCTATATTTCTTTCTCCCAAATATTCAAAGTAGATCAGCCCAGGAGAAAGTATGTGAAAGCTACCACTGTCATCTTTAAATGATCTAACAAGTAGATATTTCACAGTGGGCTTTTTTTCACTTACCTGTTTCCAGTTTTAAAATAAACCAGCCCTGTTGAAATACAAAGATATTTGAGTTTTCTGATTTATTCTCTATTGCCTTTTTCTTCCTTAAAAAGAAAAAAAAATAGAACCATGTACTTAACTAACCTTTCTTAAACTGCTTTAGCTTCAGTGTATGGAGACTAAATGAGACTTGAGAAATCCTAAGTAAAAGCGTGTTGACAAAACTCTGCTCAGCCTCTCTGGCATGGAGAGTTAGGGATAGCAGTTTATCTGTCCTCTAGGCCTAACCTCTCCTACAGGCAAGTGGCTACTGAAAAGTCAAGGCATGAAATTTCACTTCATCTCTGTAAAGGACCAGAACTCACAATTCAACAAAATTTATTGTTCTCTTTCAGGCTTCATGATGGAAATGGCTTCATGGGATGGAGGAATTTCTAGGACGGTGCAGTTTCTGGTACCACAGGTCTGTTATCTGGATAGGTCTCACTACGCTTGAATCTCTGTTACAATATTCCTCATATTCACAGCCGATGTGCTGCCCTAAACTCAGTAAGAACAGGCAAACAGCTTCTCTCTCAAGGAGAACATTGTTTGGATACCAGAAAGTCACTTAGTTTATTGTCAAAGATGACAGCATCTGCTGGTCAAGAGATTTTCTGTTTAACCCAAAACCAGATTTGCTTCATCATTCCTTTGTTTTTTTCCACATTTATGTTACATGGATTTCAAAGAGTTCATAAAGAAGGGCATTAGTAAAGAATGATTGTGTGTAGAAATTCACAAATTCAGTAGTACTTTCATTACCAGTTATACTAGTGTCATCAGTGGTGTTTCTCGTTTGACAGAACTTATTTGACAGAAATAGCAGCAGTTCTCAGAAGATGGAGCCAGAAGCACAACCTCCCCACCCCAGCCAAAAAAGTCACACAGCTAAATCATGATTGATTTTCATAATTTCATGAGAATTTTCACATTTCACTCCCATGTCTATAACTAGGTCCATATTTTAAAATCTGTTAGAAATTTAAAAACCAATGATCTAACAAGCTCAAACTGTTTTTTCTTTTTTTACCCCTTACAGAGTATTTCTGAAGAAATGTTTTATCAGCTTAGTAACATGCTCCCTCAGATCTTCCGAGTTTCATCAACACTTACTCTGACATCCAAGCACTAAATCCTTATAGGTTGACATGCTGGCAGAAGGATTGTTAAACTCTCCAGGAACTTGGGCAATGCTGGGATTCTGTCAAGCAAAAGCCATCCAGAAAGACAACTTGCAACTCACGCCACACAACCAATCACGATACAGCTGTTGAACATTCCAAAAATGTATACACTGTACAGACTAGTGACCTGCCCTTTAGTACATTAATTCTAAACTTTCTTCATTAAAAAAAAAAGCTTTTTTTTCCTACTGTTAGACCCCATCTGTAGATATTAATAAGTTCAAACTTCCTGTATATCACCCATGTTCACTTGGTGTAAGAGATTGTTCACTACGTTTTCATGGAGACGTTTAGCTTTTCCAAAAGGTTTGCATCCTGTCAGGTGTAAGGCTTCGCTGAGCATACAAGTCAAGACTTCCCTCAACTTTATTTACCACGTGAAAATTAAAAAGAATGGAAATAGATATTACAGGTATGGATTTCCTGTGAAAATCTTTTTGTAGAAACAATAATGAGACATGTGTGCTTATTTCAAAATCTCCTGTTTCAAGAACTCACTTTTAATGTATTCCTTCTAAAGTTCTTTAAGTTAGAATTAGACAATGACTAGATTCTTTCCCTGCCTCGTCTTTCATGAATGTGCCCTGTTATTAATACTTCTTAGGCTGGGAAAACGGTGAACATTGCCAGCTCAGTCTGGAAAGGTGGTCTAGACCAGCGCAGGCAGTGTTTCGGCGCTCGTCAACATGGTGACTGTCAGGAGGAGGGTCATTTTTATTTCTCTATCCTTCCTGCATTCTCAACTTCCTTACCTCTTCCTCTACTGCTTGCATCTCTTTGCTGATGTCCCCATTTCTGTCTCTGCTCTCTTTTCCCTCCTTTTCCATTGACTTTCCTTGTAGAACTACTTTATCAGACACTGCATATCACTGATTTATCCTATATCATGTTTGCTGTGAGGATTGACTACACTGAGCAAAGGCATGTATAAAGCAATAATTTCATCAAATCCAGGCTGAATGGATGTGGTAACTGGACAGTGGAATGAAACGAGGACCTTGGACATGATGAGTTGGTATTAATTGATTCCAAGAAATAGAACACACTTTGCATATGCCTACATGCAATCACACAAAGGCCCTTGTGGCACAAGATGCTTTCTCATTGCACAGAATATGCCTTGACTTTCTATGCAAGGGAATAGTTGTCCAAGTAACAGCACTAAGGTCACCTACCCAGACCATGACTGTTCCACACTAACACTTTCCAAATCCCCTGCCAGGGATCTGTGGTTCTCACCAAGAAGGTAGGTATTCTGCCCTTAGGGCAAAAAATTCTCTTCTAGATGCCCCTCTTATCATTGAGACTGATTCTAGTGCAGAGCAAGCTAGAGAGGTAGAAAACAGGCGTGCTAATGCAGTGTCAGAGACAGATAGTTCCTCATATGCCAGGCTGAGTTGGTAGAGGTAGGTGGGGTGGGGTTGATAAAAGGCTCTCAAAAAGGGTAACTGAGACTCATCCCACAGGATTCTGTAGCCAAGGTCAATGCACAGTGGGCAGCTTGAAAGGTGTAGCCAGGTGCCCTGGAAGCTTGGTGACCCTGCTGCCCCTAGCCTCTGGGTCATCTCAAAGCTGTTTTATTGTATTAGTTATGATAAGTAGTGACTTTCACCTCAGGGCAACTTAAAAGTACTGTTTGCCTATGAAATCAAGATAGATGTTTTAGTATCCATTCTTCACATGGCACTATATTGAGATGAAAGTAGTAAGATGGGCAGGTCATGCTTGCGCTGTTCCATACCACTGCGTGAGGACACACCAAAAACTAAGCTGACAGCAAACATATAACTTAAAGTAATAATTAAATGCATGCGCATGGTGGGGGATTTAGTGAAGCAGCCAAGTCTGGAGCTTTGTATTTGGGCTGGGCAGGGTGAGCCAATGGTCCTTTTCTAAGTGTCCCACAGCCTTCCTTGGAGGGTGTGGTTGCAGATACTTCATGAGTGATGTGAAGAAGGTCCCTTCGCAGGCTGAGCAGCAAGGGGCACTCCAGGCACAGGGCACAGAACCCACAGGAAAGCAGTGACAAACAGCCTGTGAGTTGAGAAAAGCCGATGACAGGAGCCTTCGGGGAATGCCTCGGGAACTTCAGCTCAAACATCAGTAGGAATGTTTCAGTGAGTAGAAGCTTTACAATTGTGTAAACAGTTTACTTGCTCTACGATGACAGCGTGGTCCTCACAGCCTTACACATGTGCTTTGGAAAGTAGCCAGGGGTCTTGGGTCTGAAATCTCCGTTCTTTACTGCTCTTTCCTCCCTCCAGCTTCTGCTCACAAAGCACAACACAAGCAAGGCCATAACTTTGTCATTGATCAGGAAGGATGGCACCAGCTGTCCCTTAGCATGACATTGTCTCCAGAATGGAAGAAATGCATGAAAAAGAATCTCAACAAAAACAGCTCAGCTTGTCTGGGAGCTGACACTGCCGTTGGATCTGGCTAATTCTCACAGAAGGAAAAATTTCCACAAAGGAAAGAGGAATTCATGGGAATATTCCCATTCCAGAGACCTTAAGGAGGCAGCAGACTTGTATACAAAGAACAGACGTCTCAAAGCATGGCGCTTCAGGACTATCTGGAGATACTGAGGAACCTCGCAGTACCCGTGTTGCCACAGGTGTGGTAAAACGCCTGCAGGAGGAAAATGCTTATGCCCTCCTACTTTCTAGCCTATCCTCCTTTTTCATAGTGAATTCCTGGTTTCTTTTATCTGTGTTGACAACTCCCTCCTCAGAGAGACAGCACAGTGTCAGACACAGGAAGCACTGTCCCGAGGTAAGTGAACCCAGTTCAAGCGCTTCCCACTGTGATGACTACATTGGGCATATTCCTTACCCCCCCTGATATGTCTCCTCATGTGTAGGCTAGGAGGAAATGAGTAGTATTTACCTCGTTGAGTAGTTGTGAGGGTTAAATAAGAAAGCACACACTATCTGGCATGTGGTTATTCTATAAATATGTGTTGCTCTTATCCTTCCTCCATTTCTTCCTGTCTCATCTTCCTTCCTTTCCTCCTTCCTGCCTGACCTTTCTTTCCTTTCAGTAGATATTAGGGATACTAAGTCACTTAAAACACCATGTCCTCAAGGAGTTTACCGCCCTGTTAAGTTGGAAAGGCACACAAGGTAATTGACAGTCCCAGCTCGTATATAATGAGGTATACAGTCAGTGCAGAATAAAGTGTCTGTAGAATGCTGTAAAGTTAAAATAGAAACATGAGCAATGCCTGTGCCCAGAGGGCAGTTGAGCCCCTTGCAAGCAGATCACTCAGTCCTGCATTTCTCTGGCATCGAGTGGGTATCTTCTGGGAGCCCTGGTTACTCTCAATAGGTCAGGCACAAATCCTCCTGGCAGACAGACAGAATGCCACCTGTGCCAGCAGAAGCAGCAACTCCAGATACAAAGGGCTGGACAGGTTAGAATGTCAGGAGGAAGTCACAGGCTAGGTGGCTAACCCAGTGTTTGAGTGGAGCAGGAAGGAGTATCAGTATTATATAACTAACACTCATATATCTACTACCCATATTTGCTAAATCTTAACATTTCCCTGTATTGGACTCCATCTGTCTTTGTTTTAGACATAAAACATCAAAGATGCAGTCAGTTGAAACTTTGTCCTTTTGTTCACTGCACCCCCAATCCCACCAACCCTTTTCTTTTCTCCCTCCTTATATCAGCTATTTCCAAGTAACACGCCATTCCAAAACTTAGTGACTGAAGCAATAAGCATTCCTTATTCTTCATGACTCCAGTGGTCACCTCGTGGTTCTTCCGGCCTTACCTGGGTTCATTTGTGAGTCTTCGCACCTCTTGAAGTAAGTTGGGTAGACAGTTGGGTGATTAGGCTGCACGTGTTTGGGGGTGACTGGCTGTCAGTTAGGGAGGATGGCCTCGGTTGGGACAACTGAAATTCCTTCACTAGTTCAAACCCAAAATTGCTCACCCAGTAGTAGCAGGATTGGGTATGTGACAGTGGAATCAGGCAATACCTTTGAGTCATAGTTCAAAATCTACACACAACTACTTCTACCATATTCTGTTGGTCAAAGCAAGTCACAAAGCCATTCCAAATTCACCAACTCCAAATTTTGATTAAAATGCTACAAAAGTCACATTGCCAAGAGTATGGGGGAAAGAATTGGAAATATTTTTGCTGTTAATGGTGCCTCTCTCCTCAGCAGTAACCACTATCCTAATTTGTTGCTCTTCATCCTCATGGGATTATTTGTAGTTTCAATATATATCTGTTTAGTGTAGCCATCTCTATGTCGTGCAGTCATAAAATGAGTGATATTAAACTATGCCAAAAGAACTATAATGAAAACTTGATTTTCTATATATTATTCAACAACTTGCTTTTTAAAAATCCCATTTCATGTCTTGGAGATTTAACCATAGATGCAGGTAGAGCTAGTATATTCATTTTAGAGGTGTATATTATTTTTGAATTATCCTGAATTATATACATATAACCTAATTTTTAAATTCACTTTCCTATTAATGGACAAGTTTGCCTTCACTTTTGTGCCACTTTGTACTGTGCTTTGTACACATTCTTACACATGTGTCATTGCACATATGTGTTATCTCCAGGGTATAGATCTATGAGTGGAACTGCTGGATTACAGAGTACTGACATCACATTTGATAGTTCCAAATTTAACTCCAACATGGTTATACTAAAATCCCCTTTTACTAGGGAATAGGAGTATGTGAGTACTTCTTTTTCCCCATAGTCTTAGATACTGACAAGTATAAAATAGTTTCTAATTGCTGTTTTATTTTGTTTTATTTCTCTGGTAACTAGTGATATTGAATAACATAGCATATGCCTCTTGGCCATTGTGATTTCCCTTTTCATGAATTGACTAAATCCTTTGTCTGTTTGTTATTGTTTTCTTTCCCTGTTGGGTTGTCTTTTTTATATTGATTTCTAGACATTCTTTCTACATATTGGGGTAAACTTTTATAAATTGTTCTTGTATATCTCTTTCCCTAGTTTATAATTTTCTTTTTACTTTTTAATTATTTTTCACAGAATTTCAAACTTTCATTATAGTATATTTATCATTCTAAGATCTGGGGAAAAAAATAAATATATGGCTATATCTACACCCTTCATGATAAACCTGTAGAAAATCCAGATGAAGATAAAAATCTTCAGGCTCTCTTAACATTTTTAAAGCAAGTAATGAAAGATGAAATTACGATTTCAAAGATAGTCAACTTCTCAACAGCAACAATAAATGCTAGAAAATGATCAATGAGCTAAGAGTAAATAGTTATCAACTTAAAATTATATACCAAACAAAAATATTGTTGAAGCCATGTACAAATATATACATAC